GTTTGCCACTGTCTTAATTGTTGCCATGTTATATTTTATCAGTATAATGTTTTAATTTTGTGCTTGGGCCCTGAGGCAATTCAGTGAAGGGTATGATTTGGAAAATCAAGGAAGTAAAGAAATTGTCCATAAAAGAGGCAGCTTCCCAGGAGCTGAGGGCAAAGCCTAAGTGCCTTAAATAAATTTTATTAAGAACAAAACAAAAACAAACTGTTGCCAGACAGAAGGTATTAAACCATCCTGGTTTGGTTTTGGTTTTGATTTTTTAATTTAATACCAGTTCTCCGTTTCTTCCAAGGTCAGCCAAGGACTCAGCCCCTGGTTCCTTCTCCATTACCTGCTAGAAGCCTTCCACATTTCTGCTCCCAGGCTGATACGCACAGTGCGCCAGCCTGCTCTGCCCTCCTCTCTTCTGCAGGAGACAAGCTGCAACCACCCTTGCATTTGCCAATATGTATTGATTGGGGTGCAGCCAACAAGACAAGCCCAAGACTGTTTCTAGAGAATTTACATTCTACTGGGCAGGATATACATTCTCCTGGGATGATAATGCCCCCGAGGGGGTAAAAATTTGTTTATGGAAAGGTAAAAAAAAAAAAACTCAGTTTAATCTTCCATTGTTTTCTCTACTTACCACCCTGTTCGCCATCTCTGTGAGTAGCTGCCCACCTCACCACCCAGTCAGTAACCTGGGCATCACCATCGGTTCAAGCTGCCAACCCTCTCTGAGCTCAGGCTCCTGATTACCAGCCTTGTGAAGGCCCAGTCCATGAAGGCTTCCTCTTTCTCTCTGAAAATGGCCCTATCTGTCTTCACTTTCCTTCTGTGCCCAGATCCCAGGGCCCAGGATTGGGCATCTCTTTTGCCAACACTGAGACCCCTGCACTTTTTCCCTGACTCATCTGGCAAAGCCCTAGGCCTTGATAAATGCCACTACGTGCTGTCCCCCTTCCTGTATCCAGGTAGGTGAGCTATGAAAGGGGAATCACTCAGCAGAACAGAATGGGACACACATAAATTAATGGCCACCACCCTCCGCTAGGTCGACAGCGCTATCAGGCAATTGGGAATTCTGTGGGCAAGTGTGCTCTTCAACTCTCTGAATGCTCATTGTCCTCCTTCCTTAAAACTCCTCCCCACCTCTTTTCGCTCTCAGCCAAAGACCTTGCCTCCCACTTGGCAGAAAAAAATAGAAGCTCAGGATGAAATCTCCCTTAACATCCCACTACAAACCTACATCGACATCTGCACCCATCCTGTCTTTGTTCCTTCTTTTGGTTCTGGAGAAGTCATCCCTCCTCCTCCCCCGGACCAACCCCTCCACCTACCCGCCTGATCCCAGCCCCTTGCACGTGCTCCTAAGTCATCTGGATTACCTCCCCTGTTTCCCTCCCCCTCCCCCCATTAATCTCTCTCCCTCTGATCTCCCCTCAGCCTTTAAACAAACTCAGCTCTCTCTCACCTCCTAACACACCTCCCCCAGCACATGTGGACCCTGTCACAGAACTGTCTCCTCCCCCTCACTCACAGACCACTGCCACCTGAACTTCTCCATCATTCCACAGAAGTAGCACTCCCTAAAGCCACCAACAGTCCCCCCCCCGCCCCCCCCCTGCCCGCTGGTCATGAAACCAAAGCCAGTGGTTCTGTTTTCTCATCTGGCCCCACCTCTCAGTGCGTTCCCCTGGACTCTCCCCAGTTTCCAGAAACTCTTCCCTTGCCTTCCCTCCCTGCGGCCACTCCCCAGGGTTTTCTCCTCCCTCCCTGTGCACTCCTTCTCAGACTTTCCAGGCAGAGCCCTCTCAGAGCAGCCCTAAACTGCGGGTGCATCCGGGAGCTCCTTCCTGGACTGTCGGCCCTCGTCCCCCAACTCAGTCCTCTTCTCTCCGTGGACAGCTTCCCATCTCCTTGTGAGTCCAACCCAGGCTGGCTTCCCGGGGCCTACTCAACATCCGCACTCAGTGTCTCAGAGGCATTTCAATCTCAACTCGTCTAAAGCGGAATCTGCACTTTGCATGCCCCCCTCCCCAACTCATGCCCCGGCCCGTCCTGTCCAGGTTACCCTGTCTCTGTGGAAGTCACTGCCTGCCTGTTTGCACGGAGTCCTCTGCATCCATTCTAGTACTCCCTGTCTCTTACCTTCCATTTCAACACATCTCTGTGATGATTTTACTTCCTGATAAGTCTGGAAGCTTCTACGGCTCTCCAACACCACGGGCACCAGCACTACCCTCCTTTCATTCTCCCTGGATGCCTGCCTGCACTTCTAACCCTTACCAGTCTTCCTGCATCTACTCCTACACACACCACTCCATTCTCCACAGGGCATTCACACAGGCCACATTAAAATTCAAATATCATCCTGTTCCCCTCAGGCTATCCTGTCAGTGACTTCCTGTCACTCTTAGGATGAAGAGAAAGATCCTTAATGTGGAATCTCCCCTCCACCCACCTCCTGTACTTTCCAATCCCTCTGCTCTCCCTCTGGGCCCTGCTACAGAGGGTTTTACCTGCCTCTTCTCTCAGCTGTATCTTCTGCCTCAGGCTCTTTGCATAGTTTCCTCCCTTTGCCCAGGATTCTTCCCCTCATCCTCCCCTCACAAACACGGTTTCCTCAGAGAATCCTTCCCTAAAACCCGAGAAAAGATAGATCTCCCTTCCTACTGAATGTTTTCATGATAATGGCTAACACACATACACCTATCGTTAGCAGCTCTTCTTAGTATTTCTACTTAGAACTCATTTACTCCTCATGACAACCTTGTGAGATAGAAATTACCGTTATCCCTATTTTATAGGTGAAGAAACTGAGGCACAGAGAAGTTATGTAACTGGCCCAAGGTCACATCGTTAATAAGACGCAAAGCCAGAATTTGAACGAGGGCAGGGTGACTCCAGGATAGAAGACACTAGCTTTATCCTTTCTGCACTTACTCACTGTAACAATGAATTGGTATGCCTATTTGTTTAATATGTGTCTCCCTCATTAGACTGTAAGCTCTATTGGGGCAGAGACTGTTTCATCCCCAATAGTAGGTGCTCAATAAATATTGGCTAAATAGCAGAATGTAGATTACTCTCCTTCCTCTTCATGCACTGCACGGCTTCAGTCACATGGTCCTGTCCCTCTTTCTTCCTGAAGCATTTATTGCTAACCGTAGGAGGTTCAGGTATGTGCTTATTTATGTCCTGGTATTTAATGCAAAATGTCAAGTGCCTGTACACACTCAAAGTTTTCTAGAGCAAAGGCTAGGTGATCCATGCTGCCTTCAGAGTCTCAGCAGGCCCATGAGGTTACAGAACAGCTTGCTCACATAGGCCCCAGCTAGCTCATCCTGTGCTTGCCTACCTCCTTTCGACAACTACAAGAGCCTGTTCTTTTCTCTGCAAATCCATCCTCCACACTTGGGTCATAGTAACCTTTTAAAAACCCAACGCAGGACGCAGTCCTGGACAACACCAGTCAGAGACTACCTGTCGCTTTTGAAGCAAAGTGCAAACTCTGCTGGTGGGTACAGAGGTGCTGTAGGTACCGTCTGCTTCTTCATCCTTATGTCCCCACATGTTCCCTCTTCCTATCCCTACCCCCAAGTCTACAGCCCAGCAGCACAGACTAGGTTCTGTGCTTGGGTTTACCAACCTATACCAGCCTATAGCTACTCCTGTCTATACTCAGGCAGTGCCTTCTGCCTGGGATGCTAGTCCTTTCCTCTGCACCTAGAATTTCCCACTCCAGAATTAGCTGTTCTTTTGAGTATCCCTTCATCCCTGCTCCCTCTGGCAATGCAGATGGTTGGATCCCAGTTCCTTAGTTACAAGGTATCTCTCTCCCTGTGAGTTTTGAGAGCAGCTGCCATGTCTTCTTATTTATCTTTTTATCTTCCCACCCTACTAGCCCATAGTAGCTCAAAGTATGGGGCTCAGTAACAATTTGTTCAAGGAATGAACGATGATGACAAATAGTTTGTCAACATAAGAAATGTCCAAACCTGTAAGATTTTATGAGTTTATTTGAACCAAACTGACAATTGCCAGAAAGGAAAGTCTCAATGAATTGAGAAAATGCTCCAGAGAATGGCAGTTTTGCATTTTATCACAATCCAAAGAGGAGGCATAAAGGGGTTACATGAAATCCACCAGTGATAGATTAGGGAGGCAGGAGAAGGGAAAGCAGGGGAAATCTCTGGGAATGGATAAAAAGTAAAACAAGTAGATACATACTTCTTTTACATCGTGGTAATTGTTAACAGTTAACAATTAACATGATAATAACAATGAGGGGCTCTGTGGTCTCTTGCTCAGGTGCAGTGATTGTGCCCTGACAGGTCTGGAGAAAAGGAAGTTACCCTGACATTTCAAGGGTATGTTGTCTCAGATGCAAAAAGAAAACAGACAGGCTCAGTTAAGGTAAAGATTGGTCCTTGTCAAGGATGATACCAGCCCAAGACATGACTACCCTCCATGACTCACTTTTAGTTAATAAGTTTTAATTTCAGACCAGCCTATGTGGTTACTTTAGGTCTCTGAGTTTGTAGGCCACCTTGCAGACCTCCCCTAAACTTGTCAGGTTTCCTATTGGCCCCTCTTTCTTGGGCAAGTTTCTAGTTCATGGGTCCTAAAGAGTGTGAAATGAACAACTGAGCTGGTAACTGGGAGTTGGGGTCTACAAAGAGATACAGATTAGGATGTTCGGATGGCCGGCAGAGAGCTAACATGGAAGACAAATTCCTTCACGGGGCAAAGCTGAAGGATTTGATGGAGCCATTCTTATCGTGGCCTACCCAGGCGGCGGGTTCAGGCCCAAGCCCCTACCCCGCCAATGGGAGGTGTCGTTGCACTCCGCGCCCTCGCCCCTTTCACCCTAAGCCGCCCGGCCGGCCGCTCCAGGAGAAAGGACTACATTTCCCGGCGTTCCGTGGGGCCGGGCTAATGAGGAGCCGGAAGTGGGATGTGCGAGGTCTAAGGGCACAGGGGAAGTGGCGGGCGGGTACTGACGGGGGGCGTGCAGGTGAGCCGGCCTGCCGCAGGTCGCAGGCATGGCTGAGGCCAGGAAGCGGCGGGAGTTGCTCCCCCTGATCTACCAGCATCTGTTGAAGGCAGGCTATGTGCGCGCAGCGCGGGAGGTGAAGGAACAGAGCGGCCAGGTAAGCGTGCGCGGGCCATGTGTGAGGGCCGCGTGCAGGATCGGGAGAGCGGCAGCCCGCGCCCCTTCCCCCGGTGGGCGCCCAGAGCCGGGTCCCGTGGTGCTCGGGCACGCTACCAGGAGCGTAGAAGGGGCCGCAGCCTCTGTCCTCCGCTGAGGCTCCCAGACCCTCTGGGCCTCAGTTTTCCTTTCGTATGCAGTGGGCTAGCCGGGACGTGCGATCTCCGCGCAGAGCTCTGTAATTCCCGCGTCCCGTACCTCCACCCTCTTCCTAGTAGCGGCGTTTTAAAGTTTCCTACGTGCCAGGCCACGTGGTTTGGCGCGCCCCGCTAGGGTGAGAAGGTAGCTACAAGTTTCAGGGGTGGATTGCCATCAGCCCCGGGGGTGGGGGCTCCGCGAAGGAGAGCGCCAGGAGAAGGAGCTTATGGCCCTGTAACTGAGCTGGAGCTCAGGCCCTTAGGCCTTTAGTAGCTCTTCCGTACGGAGTCAAACAGCTTTGGCATTCCAACTCCCGGTGTAGTCATTTCTTCATTCATTCTTTCGCAACTGTTAATCTGGTCCTCGGGGTGCTGGCGATAAAACAGTGAGCACTACGTGACGCGCCAAGAATGAGAGGCATGGAGTACTAAGTCAGGGATGGCGGATTGCCCTGGTCAGGGGTATCCAGGGCTGCTTTCCGGTGAAAGTGGAAGTTGATTTAAGATCTAAGAGAAGGGAGGTGGACATTCCAGACAGAGATGCAAATACCGTGTGGTGGGAGGGAGCTTGTTGCTGACTCTTGGCCTTGGGAAAGCCCGTCGTGAGTGAAATGTGGAATACAGGGGTGACAGAGGCCTCTTGGGGGCATGGTGCTGGTTGGAGCCCTAATGTAGGCAGTTTGGTCTTATCCTGAAGAGCAGTGCTAAACCCCTGGAGGGTTTTAAGGTAGTAAAATGATTAGTTAATACCCCTTTGGCTACAGTGGAAGCTCTGGCCCTGATGCTTGTAACTCTCAGGACCTCCTGGAGCATTTTCTATGCTTTTTCCAACCCTCTCTAGACCTCAGTTGCCCTTTTTACCCAATTTATAGCCCCAAACAGCTAAAGAGGGCAAAAGACAGTACCTGTCTTCATTGGGGCATTTGCCTAAGTAAAAGTATCCTGCTCATGGAGTGTACATTATAGCAGGAACCAGACAGGTGACAAATATTTAAAAAGTTGGTGACATAGTGTACCAGGTGATGGTCAGTGCTGGCTGTAAAAATTAGACAGGCACAGGGGATAGGACTGTCTGGTTATAAATAGGGTGGTCGGGAAGCCCTCCTGAGAATGTGACATTTGGGCAGAGAAGGAAGGGAGGGGGTGAGGTGTGAAGTTAGCAGTAGAGAGTATTACAGACAAAGAAGAGCAAGTCTTGATGGGAACAGGGTGCCTGACACATCTTGGGGACAGTGGAGTAGAGTGAGACTGGTACTTGAAGTCCCAGCGTTACTGGTTCATGGTGCAGGGCACCGACTAGATTGCCTCATTCAGGCCTGAGAGCAACCTGCTCGGAGGGTACTGCTGTTTTCCCCATGTCACAAAGAAGCAACCAGTTGGAAGAGGTGGAGCGATTAGCCCAGCTGTTTTACAGGAGAATCCTGCCTGACTCTAGGTGCACCTTCTTGGTCCCTCTGCCCAGATTCCTTATACCCTCTGTCCCCGCGGCACGCTGCTCACTCAGCCTCCTTGGGGCACTTGACATCCCAGGTTCTTGGTATTTGCAGAGACGGAGCCCTCTGGCCTTGGCTTCAAAGGCCTGGATTTCACCTGGTTCCCTCTGCTTCTACCAAGGGACTGGCACCCTTTGGTTCCACTACTTTCCCAGTGGATAAGTGGATTGTGATTATGCCACCCGGATGCCTCGGGTATCCAGGTTGTGGTCCATACTACCCTGGGGAGATTGGTCGGCCTGACCTTTAAGAGCCTTTTAAAAGGTCACTTGTGGGGAAAACTTTGTCTCAGGGCCAGCCTCTAAGCATGGGAAGTGCCCAGGAGGCTGGGGGCTGGGTAAGTGCCAGCCTGGAACATCTCAGCTCCAGTCTCTCAAAGGCACCTGTCACCAACACATTGTCTTAAAAGATTTTAACTGGAAATATTTGCCCTGCTTGTCCCTGGAAGGTTTGGATGGTGGCACTGGCAGGGCCAAGCAGACATATCTCTCCCTGAGCAAAAAGACTGCCCTTCTCAACCACCTGTCTGTGCAAGTCGTGAGATTGTAGAGAGTTGGGCCCAAGGAGGACCCTTATTGTGCTGGGGGGTTAATTGCTGTTCTCTCTTTACTTCTCTGCAGAAAAGTTTCCCGACTCAGCCTGTCACCCTTCTGGACATCTATACGCACTGGCAACAGTAAGTCTGATGGTGCTGAAGGTGTGATGTAGGAACACCCTAAGCACTCACTTTGGAACAAGCTAGGGTACCAATCTGGTCTAAGACCTGTCCCTATAGGCCAGTGGAGACACCATTATTGCCTCCAGGAAGCCAGGTCACATGTATGGGTGTCGGGTAAGGGGAGAGGACATTGAGAGCTGTGATCAGTGTTGAATAACAGTAAGGACAGAAGCTTCTCAGCAATTTGTTATTCAGTCAACAAACATTTGAGGAGCACTTACTGAATGCCAAGCCCTCTTCTAAGCGTGGAGATGTCATGAGACAGACATGCACCCTTCCTTCCTGGAGTTGACATCGGAGTCAGGGAGGTAGACGTACATCAAAGAACGAAACAAGTGAATGTTAAATTACAACGGTAGTAAGGATTACGAAAAAGAGGTAACTAATGCCAAAACCGCATAAACCTCATTTGGGTTTCTAGGGGAAGCTTCCCTGTGGTAACCTTTGATTTGAGAGCTGCAGGGAGTGGGGGAGTGAACTGGACGATGGGTATGGAGAAGCAGGTGGAGCGGACCGAGCAGAGAGAACTGCTGACGCTGAGGCCTGTGGCCATGGTAAGGAGTTGCGTCCTTACCCGGGAACAGAGGGGAGCCATGGAAGGGTGACGCAGAATGGCGAGATCGCTCTGCAGCCTGGCGAGACTGACGGGCCTCATCATCCACGCAAGGGCTGGGGGGGCCTGAGACAGGACTCATAGGAGTTAGGAAGTGCATTCCAGGAATAACTGGGGATGAACCCAGGATCTGTGGATGGGCTGGGGAGGCGGTCTAGTCGAATCCCGGGTATCTGGCTTGTGCATGGAGCTGCAAGGGAGCCTGCTTTGGAGGGGAAAATTTCAAAGGTGTGTTGAGTGTGAAATGTGTAAAGCTTAAGTACTTTTCAAAGATGGGAAAATAATCCAAGAGTGTATCAACAGAGGAGTGGTTTGGGAGGGGAGGAGGGGATAATTGTATTCCCCCCATGCCCTGGCCTGACCACAGCCAACCAGGTGAGCGAAGGACCTGTAGTCATGTCCCATAGAGAATACCGAATTGTCCAGGATGGAAAAGAGATGGCGCGGGGCAGGTGGGGGACCACTGTCTGCACATCTCTGAGGATAAGGGAAGTGGCATGTTCTCTGGGGCCCTGGGAGGCCGAAATGGGATCTGCATGTACCTGCTTTAAGAAGAGGTTTCGGTTTCTGAACACAAGTATTTGGTCTTCAGAGCTACCCCAAAATTAGATAGGCTCCAGTGGGAATGGTGAGCTCCCTGTTGTCAGAGAGGTAAGCAAAGGCAGGAATGGTATAGAAGGGACCCCAGCTTCCAGGGGAGAGCTATGGTCCTTAAAAGCCCACTCAGTCCTCAGTTCTTGGCTCTTCTCTGCTACTAAAGCAAGCACAGGACACACCCCACACTTCCTCTCCCTCACCCTCTCCGACTTGCCCAGGTGCCTTGGGTGTTCAGAGCACTTCCTCCCCCAGAGAGCCGCTTCAGCGAGCTGCACCGCAAGCCCTTCCCCACCCCTGGCCTCTGTGGATAAGGGGTGCTGAGCGAGGCAGGAACCTCCTACCCACCAGAGGAAGCCTGGCCTAGTGCTTCCTGACAGATTCAAACCCAGCAACGATCTGGAGGAGCATGGGCAAACGGTTTCCCTGAGTCTCTGCCTCCATCTGTAAAGTGATAGTCAATAAAGTGCTAAGCCTGGCCGATGGAGGCCTGCCCCTCCCGCCCCGCCCCCCAATTTATATAGCACCTACTATGAGCCAGGACTGTTCTTGACATAACTGGAAACAAACCAGAGAACAACTCCTTCAGTGATACTTGTCATAAACGAAACCTGTTTTTACCAGGAGATTCTCAGCAAGTGACCTTCCTGGGAACCAGGGACCTGAGAACACAGCCAAGCTGGCAGAGCCATGTCTGTCGTGGCTGGAGAACATGGGCAGACAGTGACTCCTCAGGGTCCCAGAGTGGGGTCAAAGAGATGATACTTGAAAGGCCCAGGGACTCAGCTATCTGGGTGCTTACCCTACCAACGCCCGGGCAAGTGATTCATTCATTTCGAGACACGTGCTGGGCACGAAGGATACTGTAATGAGCTGGGAAAGGTTCCTGCCAGCCCTCCCCGTTCCCGGGCCTCATGTGTAGCAGGGGCATCAGGCAGGAAGTAAGTACAATAACAGGAGGGAGAAAAGCGCTCTGAAGAAAATGAAACAGGAAGACAGGGTGGGGAATGCCTTGGGGGTGCTGAGGGAAGGCCTCTCTGAGGAGGCTGCGCTGAAGCCTGAGGGGCAGGGTGGACCTGGGCAGAGTCTTCTAGGGAGAGGGTACTGCAAGTGCGGAAAGTTCTGGAGGAGGGAGGAGCCTGGGTGGCTCTGTGAAGTGCCTGCAGTTGCCAGGACCTGTCCCTCAACACCTGTTAGCTACTGTTACGTCACTGACCATTCCTGATGATCTTGAAGGCTACTAGACAATTGTGAAAATACCCTATGAAATGAGTGAAAACACAGAATTTTATGTACACTACGTCTTCATTGCTGTTTAAACCCTATGCACATTTCCTGGAGTTGTCCTTGTCACCACTTGGTATAGTCGGTCACCCTTGTCCTGCAGAACCTCGGAGGTTGGCCGGAAGCGAAAGGCAGAGGAGGATGCGGCGCTGCAGGCCAAGAAAGCCCGTGTGTCAGACCCCATCAGCAGTTCCGAGAGCTCAGAGAGCTCAGAAGAGGAGGTGGAGGCAGAAGCTGAAACCGCCAAAGCCGGTAAGAGCCCTGCGTGCGGGGTGCATCGGGGGCTGGAGGCATCACTGGTGCTTGTGGGGGCTTAGCCCGGGGCCCGGCACCTTTTGGCAATAGGCTATTGTGTATTAGATTGTTCCAGCAGGGGCCCACCTCCAGCTTCTTCCTCAGTGAGCCCTCGGAAGACCAGGACCTTTTAAGTGGAAGATCGGAGGGGCCTACCTGTCTGTTTCAGGATTGATTTGAACCCTTCCTCTGTACCAAACATTGTGTCCCTGGTGCCTTCTTAGCAGCATGTGGCAGGACTGTGAGCCAATCCTTTTCCTCTGGGGGCCCCAGCGCCTCGTCACCAGGGAGTTGGGGCTCCATCGAGGATGCAGACATGTAGCTCTCCCACAAGACCAGGCTCAGCCTCAGGTCCGTATCCAGCACCAGGCAGCCACACCAGTTGTTAGGGGAGCTGAAACCTGTTTGCTGTTTTTAGATGAGAAAAAGCTCCCTGGCTCATCCAGCAGGTGTTTGTGTCTTGCAGCCCCAGTCGTGGGAGCGGTGTTGCCATCAAGCATGAAAGAAAAAGCCAAGGTGAGTGGGGCCGCATTCCAAGCTGCTACCTGTAAGAGTTGAAGTGTCCTGTAGGGGACAGTCACCAGTGTCAGAGGAGGAGGATAGTGGGTAATTGCCCAGCCTGGATTCAGATCTCAGCTCAAGTTACCAGCTGTGTGATCTTGGTCAGTCTCTTCACCACTCTGAGCCTCAGTTTCCTTTTCTTTAAAAATATAAAAATAATCAGGAAATAATGACAATAACCACAACAAGCTGCAACTTACCACTTGGCAAGTAACAACTGTGTTACAACAGGAGCGTAGTTCTCCCTACACCTCTCTGAGGGGAGGCACCATTTTTAAAGATTTATTGCCCTGGCTGGTGTGGCTCAGCTGGTTGGCGCATTGTCCTGAAACTGAAAGGTTGCAGGTTCAATTCCCAGTCGGAACACATAGCTGGGTTGTAGGTTCGATTCGAGGTGCAGGTGTGTGCAACCACCGCCTGCCCCCCCATCCAGATGTGTAAGATTCCCTGGTCTAAGTGTGTACAGGAAGCAACCAATCAATGCTTCTCTCTCACATCAATGTTTCTCCCTCTCTCTCTAAAAGCAATGAAAAGAAAATTGTCCTTGGGTGAAGATTAAAAGGAAAAAAAAAGATTTTATTTATTTTTAGAGAGGGAAGAGAGAGACACAGAAACATTGATCAGTTGCCTCTCTCATGCCCCCAACCAGGGACCTGGCCTGCAGCCCAGGCATGTGCTCTGACCCAGAATCGAACCGGTGACCTTTTTGTTTGGGGGATGATGCCCAACCTGCTGAGCCACACCAGTCAGGGCTTTTTTTTATGCCCAGCTTTAAAGATGAAGAAACTTGAGGCCTAGGGAAGGTGATTTGTCCAAACTGAGACAGCTAGGAAGTGGTGGAGCTGGGTTCAGATGGGGTCTGTGTTCTTAGTTCACCGGACCATCCCCAAGGTTGTCTGTCGCTTGTTCTCTGCAGGCAAAGACCAAGACAGTCAACAAGACAGTGAACTCCACTCCACACCCTGCCTCCGGGAAGGCCCCCAAAAAGTTGGCAAATACCATCCCAGTCTCAGAAATCAAGTCGTCGGGCAGCGTCCCAGCCCTCAGAACCACTGCCAAGCCTGGTGAGGAGCGCCCTGAATGTGGGCTGGGGGTGGGGGGCAGGCAGGCCTGGGCGCCCCTTTGTCAAGCTCTGGGACATTCAGAGGCCTGTCTCTATGACAAGGGCCCCCCCGCCTCCAGCCATTTTCCCTCCCCTTGAGGAGGGAGAGTCCACCCCAGGGAGGCCTCGGGCTTTGCTGAGGGAAGTGAGCAGCCCGGTGGTGGAGCATTTTTGGGTTTATTGTTCCCAGGTGGGTACAAGGCCCACCCCTTTCGGAGGCTTAGGAACTAAACTCAAAGGCCTGGGTTTGCCTGTGTTTCTCGTATGAAAGGGCTTGCCCCGCCTGCCTCAGTGTGATAGTGGTAGGAGATTTTTCTAAGCTGGCATGTGTGTTAGGACCTATTACGCCCTTACCAGGGCCTCAGAGGCGTGCAGAAACATAGGGACACGAGTGGAGTGCACCTTGGCTGTGGGGCTTCAAGAGACAGTGGAGTGAGGCGCAGCTCGAGTGCTCAGTACCTGGCTCTGACTAGCTGGTGTGGCGGGTCTGGGAAGGGTGGCCCTCAGTGCCCTCTCTGTTCATCCCTCAGGAATGGCATCCTCGGGCCAGGCTGACAGCTCTAGTGAGGGCACCTCCAGCTCCAGCGATGACACAGACGTGGAGGTAATTGCAACCCATCCTCAGGAGCTGCCCTCTGCAAACATCTAACCCTCCCTCCCCGGAGCCTGGCTTCACAGACCACTGGGACCAGATCAGTTCAACAAGTGTTTCGGGGTGACTGGGAGCTAGAAAGGCTGAGGCCCAGGGGCAAGGGGAGGGGAGGGGAGCCAGGTGCTGCCCGTTGCTCTCTGGGCCTGAGAAGGGTCTAGGGTTGTAGGAGAGAGACAGAGCGCGTCCTGCCAGTGAGGCAAAGGCGGGCTTCCTGGGAGAGGCGGCCACAGCAGGGCCTTGGTGCACGGGGGCGTCACCAGGGAAGGGATGTAGGGGAAGGGTGTTCAAGCAAGAAGAGCTGCACGAGCAAGGGCCCAGGGGCAGGAGGGCGGCCGTCCTGTGATGCGGTCAGGGGAGTGGGGCGAGGCTGCCGAGGGGGTGCTGAGCCCGCTGGCGAATGCCAGGCCAGGGTGCCTGGCTGGACATGGGCAGGTCTTACTCTGTGGCCTTGTCTCTTCTCTGAACTGTGGCCGGGGGTCATTTCTCGCTGTGCATCTGCCAAGTGCCCGGCCTAGGGTGCAGTGGTGGGCGAGATGAGCGGGGTTCCTGCTGCCTGGGGAGGTATAGGGTCCCTCAGAAATTTCGCAACAACAGTGCCAGATACTGTGAAGGAAGAAGGTAGAGAGTCCTGAGGGGCGGTGATAGGAACGTGACGTAGACAGAGGGGACAGCATGAGCAGGGACAGAGACAGAGTTTGGTGCTTTTCAAGAACGCTGACGTGCAGTGTTGTGTGTGAGGGAAAGGGATGTGACATGGGGCAGGCATCGGGCCAGATCTACTGCCTGGCCGTGAGGACCGCTGGGAGGAGTTGGGGTGTAGCCTCGGGGCTGTGAGGAGCCCTTGCAGGGTTTCAGGCACAGAGGTAAGATGACCTGATTTATGTTTCAAAAAGTTCACTGGATGTGGCCTGGACGGGAGGACAGAATGGAAGGAGTGCGACCGTAGAGGGGCTGTTGGAGAAGGCTGGCGGCTGCCCCCTGGGGGCCCAGTGGGAAGGGGAGGGGAGGGGGAGCGGGGAGGGGAGGGGGAGCCAGCAGGATGCGGATGGATGGATGGATGGACGGACGGATCAGTGTCCGAGGGCTTCCCACCTCTCCTCCGGCCTCACCATGTGAAGGTGGAGACCTCTCCCCCATCCGCCACAGCCCTGGCACATCTCACTTGCCATCCCCACCTTGGGGCCCTAGATGACAGCCAGCTCTAAGGATGCCCCAGGAAACCAGCAGTTACACATGTGCCTCTGGGGGCCAGGGGCCAGTGTGGGGCCCCGGCAGCAGTGAGGGGGGGTTCAGGGTGGAGGAGAGGGCAGCCCCCAAAACCCAAGGTCACGTGAAGACTCGCTGATGGCAGAGGTGGAGGTAGGGCCCGCCTGCCTTGCAGATGTCAGCCTTTTAGAAGCCTAAGAAAGCCCAGGGAGGGAAGGGTTGAGCCCGGGGCACCTCGGCAAGCCGCGGCAGGCTTGGTATTCGGGTGCTGGCCTCCGCTCTCCCAATGGCCTCATGATCCGATGCTGTGCTGAAGGGACAGGCGAGGGTGGGCTTTCCTGATGGAGAAAGGCGGCCCCCTGTGCCGGACCCAGTGTGCCAGGCGGCAGAGCAGCACGGTGCTCAAAAGTTCTGTCCCCAAAGCTGCACGGACATGGGTTCCGGTCGCAGCTCTGCCTCTTCGTGCTGGTCTTGAGTGAGTTGACCTCTCGGAGCCACTTGTCCTTTTCTGGAAAATGGGTGTAACAGTGACATCTGTCTCAGGGAGTCGTCTGAGAGGGCTTTATAAACCGTGAAGCGTGTTACGCCCACCAGGGGTGAGAACTATTATTCCTTCCCTACTTCCACCCTCTTGTTCCAGGTGAAACCCTTGGCTAAGCCACCACAGGTCAAAGCCTCGCCAGCCCCTGCCAAGGCGTCTCCAGGAAAAAAGGCGGCAGCAGCCCCCACCCCTGGGAAGGCCGGGAATGTGACACCCCAAGTCAGAGGAGGTGCCCCGACCCCAGCCGGCAGGGCCCAGGGGCCTGGAGAGGACTTGGAGAGCAGCGAGGAGGACTCTGAGAGCGAGGAGGAGGCCCCCGCGGGGACAGCCAGCCAGGTGAGGCCCAGGAGAGGGCTGCCCCTTGGGGTTTCCTGGTCCCAGCGGCCTGGGGCTCTCCCACGGCCCCCCGCCAGGTCACGAGCACCTCCTCTGCCAGAGAAGACTCCCTTTGGAGTTTGGTGAGCAGGGTCGGGGGTGTGAAACATGAAGGGCAGCTGCAACTGGGCTTGCTCAGCCGCCTGTAGAAATTACTCTTCTTGCCTAAGGAGCAGCATAGAGCGGCTGCTTCCAAGAGGGTGGTCCTGTACCCCATTTTGTCAGTAACTCCCATTTACCTCCGTTTCCCTGTCTAGTAAATGGGCTGCTGTCCTCACCCCAGCTAGTCCGCTGTGAAGGGACTTGAGAAGTTTCCATTGCTCGGCCCTCTGGCTTCTCAGGCCAAATCATGGCTTCATAGCTAAGAGGAATTTGGTTACCTTTCCATCTGCTGCCCTCTGTCCTGGGGGGGTGGTCGGGGGTGCAGCCCCTGAGGCTTTGGGTACGTCCAGAGGGAAATCCAAAGGGGCTGGGAAGCTGTTGGAATTGGAGAAGAAGGCGGGGTCAGGTGGTGGCAGTAAAAGGCGGGGCAGCCCTGAGCCCGCCTGGCGGAGGCCCAGGAGCGGAGGTCCCACCCCACGCAGGAGGGTGAGTGGGAGACGTGCGATGAATAAGATTGACTGTGCTGGGGATGGTGGGGAGGTGGGAGTGGCCATTTAAACTGGAGTGTCAGGGGAGCCCTGTGTGAAGGCTGGAAGACCTGAAGGAAAAGGGGAGGCGACCATGTGCCGTGGGGGGGTCATTACAGGTGGGACCAGAGCACTTGCCAAGGCCCTGGAGTGGGAGTAAGAGTGAGAACCGACAGGTTAGCGTGTGCAGACCCTGTCTCCCGGGGGCCGCTGCTCCTCTGCTCAGGGCAGGCTTGCTGTGCCCACGGCTACCCCGTGTTGCCTGGCACCCATTGTTCAGAAGGAACCCAGATGTGAACTTCCACTATCTGCTTTCTCCACATTGCTTCAGAACGGTGCTAGCCAGACACAGCCCGTCTGGAGTAGCCCGCACCCTCTGCTCAGGAAGGTTTTTAGAAGGGAAGTGATCAGAGCCACTGATTTTCTGAGGTGATTGGCTCAGGCCTGAGCAGCTGTGACCTTTCTCAGACAGACAGGGCTTGTAGCCGTCCTGCCAAAACCCTGATGCCGTGAGCAGAGCCTCATGTCAACAAGGAGCCCATTAGTGGGTTAGTGAGAAGGAGTCCTGGGCTCCAGGGACCTTGCCACATGAGGCCAGGACAGGTTTCCCCGGGGTCCACCTGCTGTCCATTTGTAGAAAGCTCAGGGCGGGCCTCCCTCTGCCCCCTTTTCACTTTGGGGCTGCCTCGCCGCTCACCACATCCAGGCTCCCCCGATTCCTCCCTCCCCTGAGCCCAACCACGTACACACTGGGGCCACAGCACCAAGGGTGCAGCAGCCGGTCAGCCAGGCTCGGGGCTGGTGCCCGCAGAGCTTTCTCATGGGTGGGGCCGCCCTGCCAGGTCAGGGTCTGACACCCTGCATGCATGGCGACCGTGGGGCAGTGCAGGAGCGTGAGGGACAACCGCCGTAAGGAACTGGTGTCTGTCTGGGCCCAGAGGATGAGGCCGTGGCGGCCAGGTGAGATGGGCAGGGGGCGTGAAGGCCTCAGGGATTAAAGAGTGGAGCTGATAGGCCAGGTCAGAGCATCAGCCAAGGTGGAAAGTGAGGAGAGAAGCAGGGGGTCCCGAGAGCCCCACAGAGGCCTCGGCTTTATCCTGCAGGTGCCTCCAGAGGGTTTTCATGAGGAAGGGAACAAATTGCCCTTTCTCTTTTACTAGGTGAAGGCCTCGGAGAAGATTGTCCAGGTCAGAACTGCCTCAGCCCCTGCCAAGGAGTCCCCCAGGAAAGCGGCCGTCCCGGCGCCCCCTGGGAAGGCAGGGCCCACAGCTGCCCAGGCCAAGGCAGGGAAGCCAGAGCAGGCCTCGGAGAGCAGCAGCGAGGAGTCGGACAGTGAGGAGGAGGCGCCAGCTGCCAAGACTCCACTTCAGGTGAGGCCTGGGGAAGGAGAGCCCGCAGCTGTGCCTGTCCCCAGAAGGGCCTGAGGACTTGGTCTCCCACTCTGGGAGAGCCCCGGGCCTGCTCAGGGGCCTGCCGCAGCCTGCCTGCCTGGCAGTGTGGGGTGCCATTGTCCCCACGTGGTTTCCAGCCTCTCCTCACCTCCACCTTCTGGGCTGCCTCCCCTTATTCTGCTTCTCTGGCTCCAGGCAAAGCCCTCGGGGAAAACTCCCCAGGTGAAAGCGGCCGTCCCGGCGCCCCCTGGGAAGGCAGGGCCCGCAGCTGCCCAGGCCAAGGCAGGGAAGCCAGAGCAGGCGTCGGAGAGCAGCAGCGAGGAGTCGGACAGCGAGGAGGAGGCGCCAGCTGCCAAGACTCCACTTCAGGTGAGGCTCAGGGAAGGAGAGCCCGCAGCTGTGCCTGTCCCCAGAAGGGCCTGAGGACTTGGTCTCCCATTCTGGGAGAGCCCCGGGCCTGCTCAGGGGCCTGCCGCAGCCTGCCTGCCTGGCAGTGGCGGGTGAGGGGGGTGTCACTGGCCCTGCATGGTTGCCTACCTCTCCTCACCTCCACCTTCTGGGCTGCCTCCCCTTATTCTGCTTCTCTGGCTCCAGGCGAAGCCTTCGGGGAAAACCCCCCAGGTGAAAGCTGCCTCGGCCCCTGCCAAGGAGTCCCCCAGGAAAGCGGCCGTTGCGGTGTCCCCTGGGAAGGCAGGGCCCGCAGCTGCCCAGGCCAAGGCAGGGAGGCCAGAGGAGGCCTCGGAGAGCAGCAGCGAGGAGTCGGACAGCGAGGAAGAGGCGCCAGCGGCAGTGCCTGCAACCTTAAACCTGGCTCAGGTGAGGCAGGAGGACACGGGCATGACTGGCACCCTGCCTGCAGAGCCACCCATGTGCTTGTCCTCCCCCCGACCCCCAGAGCTCTGGTCCCCCGTTTGCCCTCCTCACCTTCTGTCTTATACACATTCCCTCTGTGGGTCCCCTGCCCTAATCCTGCCCTCTGTCACTCCCAGGCAAAGCCCTTGGGGAAGAATGCCCAGGGCAAAGCCACCTCAGCCGTGGGGACCTCCGGGAAAAGCGCTGCCCCAGCACCCCCCGGGAAGGCAGGGCCGGCAGCCTCTGCGGCCCAGGCCTGGAAGCAGGAACAAGACTCGGAGAGCAGCAGTGAAGAGGAGTCGGAGGAGTCGGACAGCGGCGGGGAGGCCCCGGCAGCTGTGGCCTCGGCCCAGGGGAGGCCCCCGCCTGTAAGGCTCTTCGCTCCGCCCCCGGTGTCAGAGCCCCCTCCCTCTCTATACACAGTGACGGTTTAACCTCAGTCTCTGTGTCTCTGCACACAGACATGCTTTGGGCTCCCTCCCCTGATCCCGTGCGTCTCGTTCCAGGCAAAGTCCTCTGGGAAGGTTCTCCCGGTCAAGTCTGCGTCAGGTCCCACCAAGGGGCTCCCTCAGAAAGCAGGGCCTGAAGCCACCCAGGTCAAGGTCAGAAGGCCCAAGGAAGACTTGAAGAACATCAAGGAAGAACCAGACAGTGAGGAGGAGGCATCCGCAGCCATGACCCCAGCCCAGGTGAGACCGCAACCTAGCCAACCCTAAGTGGCCCCCACTGGTCAGCTCCGCAAGGAGCTATGGGGAAGGGCGGCGGTGAGCTTCCCCCCAGGACAGGTGGAGGCTTGGAATCTAGGACCCGTCACCAGCTTCTCACTTCTGTGTCCCCTCAGACAAAACCGGCCGCGAAAACTCCTCACACCAAGGCTTCCCCAAGGAAGGAAATTTCTGTTACCCCTGCAACTGCCAACGCCTCCCCAGTGCAAGCGGGCATACCAGCGCCCTGGAAGGCGGGACCAGCGACTTCACCGGCCGGCACGTCATCCCCAGCTGTGGCCAGGGTCGCCCAGTGGCCAGAGGAGGACTCTTCAAGCAGCGAGGAATCAGAGAGTGAGGAAGAGGCAGCTCCTGTCAGAGCTGGGGGACAGGTGAGGCCAAGTGTGCCTGGCTGGCCCAGGGCCAGCCCCGTCGTGGTCCTTCAGGTTCCTGTGTCATGGCTCTCTTCCATACTGTTCTAGGCTGCGTCTGCAGGGGAACGCCTCCCAGCGAAAGCTGCCTCAGCACCCACCAAAGGGCCCTCGGAGAAAGGCACCACCCCAGTAGTCCCTGGGAAGGCAGGACCTACGGGGGCCCAGGTCAGTGCCAAGACACACGAAGACTCGGAGAGCAGTGAGGAAGAATCGGACAGTGAGGAGGCTGCCTCGGCTCCGGCGCAGGTGAGACCTAGCAGGATGGGCTGGGCTGGGCTCTGCTGTTGTCCCCAGGTGTGCAGAAGTCTCAGGGGCAGCCCCAGCTCAGTCTCATTCCTTGCTTTTTACACTGTCTCCTGCATGGCCTTTGAGCTCCCACTGAGGTGGTTCCTTACGCTTTCCATAGGCTCTGTTGAGCCACCCCATCTGCCGGGTGCTCTCCTGCCCAGGGCGCCTGTGGCCCTAGCCCTGAGTTCCCAGCCTAACAGGGGGCGTGGGCATGTACACAGATTATTCCAGCATAGTGTGATAGGGCTGAGGTAGAGGGTGCCTACCCGGGCTCTCAGAGCCTGGCAAGGGCTGGCATCTAGGGGTTTTTCAGGAGGTAAAGCCTTTTGGAGGAATGGCATCTACACTGTGGGCAGAGTTGGCCCCGTGACATGGAGTGTTCAGAGAAACCCCAGCCTGTGCAAGGGCCAGGGGCAGGAGAGCGCCTGGTTTGGGCAAGTTGCCCCAAGCAGAGCGTTCTGGTGGGATCACTGGGGAGACAGTGTGGTGGCAGCGAACAGTGGAGGGGTTGGTGCCTGGTTTCAAGGCCCTGAAAAGTGATGCAGTCCGTCAGAGCCTCTGTTTCCTTGTCTGTAAATTGAACATCAACCCTCAGAGGCTTGAGAATTCAGGGAGATCTCCCCTGCCACACCCAGCAAGGGGCCTGCACACAGCCAGCTCTCATCCCCCGTAGGGCGGCCAGGCTGCTGTGCCCCAGAATCGGGGCGCCTCCCTGCCTGAGAGAACAGGGCGAAGTGAAGATAGCCCCCTCCCTGCACTCACCCACCCACTGCTCATTATTTTTAATTGCCCCCCCCCAATAACCACTCAGATATGAGTCATTTCATTCTTCCCTGTACCAGAGCACATGTTTCTATGGAATTTTTCAGTTTCCCTTTACGATTACCTTGTGAGACCCAAAGTCCTATAATTCCTCTACTGAGGTTTTAAACTATGCATGGGCCCCCCAGAGTCTCAGCCCAACAGGCTCCTATCCCCTTACTCCAAGCTGCGGACACGTTCCAGAGCAAGGTGCAGTGTGCCAGTCACTTAAATGCTTGTCTTCCCATCTGAGCTTCCCACTGGTACCACGAGATAGGTGTTAAATTGTGTTGGTTTCTGGAGACAGAAATTGGAGTTTAAAAGAGTTGCTTGGTAACAACTGGGTGCTCCAGCTCAGCCACCAGTAAGGGTCAGAGCCGGGCCTCTGCCCAAGAGTGCCTACCTCAGAAGAGTGCCTTTTCCTTATCTCACTTTCTTCTGCCACATCTTAGTTAAAACCTTTCCAGTCACAGAAATGGTTGTGAGAGAAAAAACATCAATTGGTTGCCTCTCATATGTGTCCCAACCAGGGACCAAACCCACAGTCTAGGCATGTGCCCTGACCAGGAATCAAACTCACGACCTTTCTGGACGATGCTCCAATCCACTGAGCCACACTGGCCAGGATTACTTTGGTGTTTCCTAGGGACTACGTTAGCTTCATCCCATGGATTTTAAAATGATTTAGTTTTTATTCTTTGGATTTAGAAGTAGACTAATTTCCAAATATCTGGGATTATGCAGATTTCTTTCTGTCGTTGATTTTCAATTCAGTCCTGTTGTAGCTGAAGAACTTGCCTTGTATGATTTTAGTCCTTTTAAGTTCATGAAGACTTGGGGGGTCAGGGTAAGTCTTCGTTCTGTCTGCGTAAAAGACGTCGCCGCCCCGTGAGTGGCCTGAGAGCTGCACTGACGAGCACCTTGGCCTTGAGACGCACGGTCCATGCTTTGGGGGATTGTCTTCTCTAAGTCCTGGCTCTCCGTTTCATTTGTTCTCACGTGGAAGAGGGCTTCTGAGGCGCGGGGAGGCGTCTGCCGGCCCTGATCAGATGGCCTCCCTGAGGCAGGGGCCTTGAGGCGCTGCCACTTGCTCATTCTACTTCCCACCAGCAGGGCTTCCTGTCTCCTGTCGAGGATTTCGCTCTTTATTACTCTCATCTCAGGGTCTGTATTTGCTGGAGACCCTGAAGACAATGTGGGGATTCCCTAGACTCAATGAACATTAGATTAAGTTGAAGGAAAATTCAAACCGCAATGGTGTTGTGTCTTGTTCTGTTCTCGCTACCTGGCTCCCACCTCATAGACTAAGTTGGCTGCCCAAGCTCCCGCTACTACCTCAGCATCCCAGGCAGCCAGAAGGAAGAAGACACGTTTCCTACGTGTGTGAGAAAGTCAAATGTGTCCTCAACTTACATTCCATTAGCTAGAACTTGTAATCTCATGGCCACCCAGACAGAAGGATGCCAAGAACACCTTTGCTCTGAGTAGTCTTGTGATTAACACTAAGAAAAGTGCTCACAATAATGAGTTTTAATGCTTATTACACACGGGGAACTGTTAGACACCACGAATCTCTCACTTAATCCTCTTTTACGGAGGAGGAAACTGAGACCCAGTGACATCAAATGATTTGCCCAGGCTCACACAGCTATCAAATGGAGGCACTGGAACCCAAACTCAGATATGTGCCTCAAGAATCCGAGTCCTTGGCTGACTGTCCTGCTGCACCTCACCTTTTCCCTTCCCTAATTCCCTTTTCCTTCCAGGCGAAGGCCTCAGTGAAACCCCTTCAGGCCAAAGCCACCCCAGCTTCCAGAGTGGCTTCAACCAAAGGGGCAGCATCAGCTCCTGGGAAAGTGGTCACCGCAGCTGCTCAAGCCAAACAGGGGTCCCCGGCCAAGGCAAGTGGGACCAGAAGCCCCAGGAGGTGCTGGGGCGTGGGGGGCGGCGGGGGGCGGTGCAGAGAGAAAGGCCAGGCCATGGCCCCATCCTGGACAAGGGCCCCGCACAGGCGGGAGCAGCCTCACCACCATCACACCACGGGTGGGGCTTAACCTGAAAAGAACCCTGTTCTCCACTTCTTCCCCCAATACTGTTACCTCCTTGACATTCAGGTAAAGCCGCCAGCGAGAACCCCCCGGAGCAGTGCCGTCTCGGTGAAGGGCCAGGCATCTGCGCCAGCTGTGGGGAAGGCAGCGGCTGTGGCAGCCCAGGCCTCAGGGGCAGCGGAAGATGACTCGGAGAGCAGTGAGGAGGAGACGGACAGCGAGGGGGCGGCACCTGCCCAGGTGGGGCCCGGGGCGGGCAGAGAGTGGCCCTGGGCCCCCCTCTGTGTCAGGGGTCCCCCACAGCACAGCTGCATATGCCCCGCCATCTCCTGTGTCCCTCTGCGCTCCCTTTCCTAATACTGTTGCTCTTACCCCAGGGCAAGCCCTCAGGGAAAACCACCCAGGTCAGGACTGCGTCGGCCCCCACCAAGGGGTCCCCCAGGAAAGGGGCTGACCCGATACCCCCTGCGAAGGCAGGGCCCGCGGCTGCCCAGCCTGGGAAGAAGGAGGAGGACTTGGAGAGCAGCAGCGAGGAGGAGTCGGACAGCGACGAGGAGGCGCCGGCAGCTGTGACCCAGGCTCAGGTGAGACCTGATGGGGAAGCAGCTACAGTGCCGAGCCGCCACCACCTCGGTCAGGACTTCGGCTCAGGGCCAGGTGGGGAAGGAAGACCAGAGTAAGCCTCTGGCTCCAGGGTATCTTACCGTCTCCTTCGGTGGAACCTGCTGTCAGACTTCCCCAAACCAAGGCCGCCCCGATGAAAGGTGTCCTATGTGCTCCTGTATCTACCAAGAGCTCTCACCGTTTGAGGGACACACCTGCCCCGTGGAAGGCTAGGCCAGAAACAAACTCCTGCCAAGGCACATGAGGCCAAGAATCCAAAGATGCCACAGCCAGAAAGTCACGGGGAGGCTTGGATGGTGCTGCAGGCACTACACAAGGCCCTGGGGAGCTGGGGGGAGCCGCATCCTTTTCCTGGGCCTGGGGTTTGACGAGAGGGAGTGAAGACCTGGCTTTTATTGGGGTGATTCTCCCTGTCCGCCTGCCAAAGGCAGCAGCAGTGGCCTTGTGCTGCAGAAGTTCATGGTAACAAACTCTAGGGCTTACAGGGCTCTGACGTTTAATGGAAATGATTGATAGAGGCCTAGTAGAGATGATAGATGGCAACTGACATTAAGCCATGATGTCACAAGAGACAAGAAGTGGCGGCAACTGGGCAAATTAGAGAGCCCTTGCCCCATCCCAGAGAGAGTCACTGTCAGCTCCAGCCACTCGTGACCTTGTAGAACTGCACCCTCTGTGCGGCTGTATCTTCCATTTCTTAAGGAAAGCTAGAAGTCCCTGTGCCAGGCCAAGCTCCATCCCCTGTTAGATTTGTTCTCTTCGTGAGTAAAACAAGCACCAAGAGCTCCTAGCACTAACCTCCATGTCAGTGCATCTGGCCAACTATTGAGCCCTCTGTCTTCCCGTGGAAGTAAAAGGAACAAAGATGTTTACCCTGCCCTTATACAAAGATGTTTATCCTGCAGCTTATAGCCTGTAGGGCAAGGCGAGATGACTGGATTTTGGGGGAATATTCTGGTAGTGTCTATCTGATGGAGCTGGGAGACTAGGTCTCTGAGAGGCCAGAGAGAAGATGGTAGAGCAGAGCTGGAAGGGAGACCTGGAGCTCCCCAGACCCAGGAGTGAAGACAGGCACTCCAGGGAGGGGCGGGGGCAAGTGTGTGCCAAGGCGGGGACCTGGGGTCGGCAAAGGCCAGCTGTCAGGCAGCAGGCACTTCTAGTGCTTGTTACCATTAACATTTACGGAGGCCCAGTTTCCCCAGCCACATTTTGGTTGTGCAGATTCCTTTTTCTTTTTCTTCTTAAATTTTAAATGAGTTGGCATATCTGTCAGGATGTCCTAATCTGTAGAAGAAAACCTCATTCATAAGAGCTTAGGTGGTACGGGGATTGGCTCTCTCGTGGTGTGAAGTCCCAGGTGAGGCTGCTGTACACGTGGCTCCTTAAGCACAGCATCGCTGGGGACCTTGATTTCCTCCCACTCCGCTTCACCTGCCTCGTTGTCACAGCAGGGCTGTGGCGTCGCCTGAAGAGCTAGCAGAGCCCCCAACCCACTTCACCTCTCCTGTCTTCTTGTCCAGATCTAAGTCACCAGCTTCCTCCCCCCTCCCCTCTCCCAAAGCCACTCACAAGGGGCCTGCGGTTCCCAGGATTGGCTGGGAGAAGGGGTCACCCTCCCCAGAGCCTCAAGCAGGAACCACCAGAGCAGAGCTGGGTTCTGTTAGCGAGGAAGACACCAGCACGGCAGCTGCGGTGTGCGTTTTAGTTGATCTATTTTAAAATTGGGAAATGGCACATGCAAATCAGGCTCTTCTAGCTTCTCTCAAGAAACTGGACACCTAGGCCGCACTTTGCTGGCTCTGCTGAGTAGTGAATGGTGGGGCCTTCGCGGTGTTTGGGAAGCGCGGAGCTGCCCTCTCCCTCCTCCTCTGGCCCCTGACTGCAGAGTCTTCGCAACCTGCCCCACTCATTTGTGCCGGGCCCGGCAGGAGAGGCTGGCCGCCAATGGAGCACCTGGCCAGCTCCAGCACCCGCTTTAACTGAGGTGGTACAGCCAGGGGCGCACCATGCCAGGGCCACTGGCTTCCCCCTGCAGCCTTTCCCCAGCCTGCTGGCCCCACGTGTAGATGCCAGGCCAACAGTGCCTAGTCCTCGGGTGTTGCCTTCTTCATGCACCCCCTTCAAGGTCAGAGTCAGCTCTGGCAGGAGGATAAGCAGGACACAGGCCTGTATTTCCAGTGGCTGTGGGCCATCCTGGGCCAGCAGCCCTTGTGTCCGCCCATCTGCCTTGTGTTCCCCCCCAACCCCTAGGCATGTGCTTGTAGGAAGGGGCCACGCTGCCTTCCCTGGGTTGCTGCTCGCTGGCCGTGGCTTCCTGGTCCCTCGGTTGTGCTCCCCATCAGCTAACATCCCCTCTTCCCCACCATGTGCTTGTCCCCGCAGAAGGAGAGTAACTCCAAAACTGCCGGAAGCAAGGCGCTGGCCCCAGCACCCCCGGAGAAGAACGCTGAGGGATCCTCGGAGAGCAGTGATGAGGAGCTGCCGGCGAGCCAGGTAGGCCGGACCTTCTCTTTAATGACACATGGGCTCAGGCCTGTGGGGTCAGGGCAGAGTGTTCCCATTTAAACAGCACTTCACAGTCTCCAGGGCTCTTTCCTCTGTTTTGACACATTCACTGTCACAGTAACCCCGTGAGGTGGGCGGCAGAGTGCCATCAAACACCCAGAGGGTGTAGGGTCAGAGCCGGCTCCCCTGCCACCAGCCCCGTGACCTGGGCACGCCTCACCATGCTGAGGCCAGGGGCAGGGGGGGTCCCAGGGGTGAGCAGGCAGGGCGGCATCCTCACTCCTGCGTCCGCGCCTGGCGCAGGCCCCCAGCACGCTGCCGGGACACAGGAAGCCTGCGCCTGAGCTAAAGGCATTTCCTGAAATTCTCGTGACCCATGAGAAGCGGAGGAAGGGGCGATCACTGGTCCTCAGGCCCCCCATGTGTCCCTGCCTCCCATTTGGGACCAAAAGTCCCCTCTGCAGGGCTCTCCGGAACCCCGGGGGCCTGCCCTGAGAGCCGCTCAAGCCCCTGCGGCCCACCTTCACATGCTCTGCTGCTCCGGTCACCCTGCCCAGGTCGTGCCCCGAGGCGGGACCGAGGCCACCTGTCCCCCCAAGTCAGAGGCCCGAGTCTGCTGGGCCAGTGTCCAAGCGTCCCTGTGAACTGCAGGCCTTCTGGCAGAGAGCACCGCCCTTTGTCCTCCTCCGGCCCCAAGCTCCTCGGAGATACTGGAGTTCTGCAACTCACAGACCAGCAGGGTCTCTCTCCGTCTCCCCTCACAGGTCGCACCACATGCTTATCTGACCGTCAGGAAGGTCAGAGGCCGCTTGCACGCCCAGCGGTGGGCCACTCACTGCCTTTCTCTTCTCAGTAGCACAGGTTGCACAAATTACCACTGAACCACAAGTAGTCCACCACTTCCTGTGTGCTGGGCTCTAGGCTCAGCCACAGACTTGCGTTACTCTGTTTAGCCCTCACAAGAAGCCTACTAGGAGGATAGCTCCTTCTATTTCCACTTTAAGGGGGAAGGAATGAGGCTCAGAGAAGGCAGGTGAACTGCCCCAGGGTGACATGGCCAATAGCAATAGACAGACCTGGCGTTGGAACTTTGGCCACCCGCACTCTGGCCCTGCCTCAGTGCTCGCCTCTCCAGGGAGGAGGCGAGCACGGCGGGGGCACCGCCCCGGGCCCTGTGGAGCCTTCAAGAGGCTGCCTCCTGCAGGACCTCAACAGCTGGCAGGGAGGGGGCCCCTTCCCCTTCTCCGCGGGGGCGGACTAACACAATTAAAATGAACATCATGCTTAAACTGAAACATTTAATTGGCACGTTAGTCCCGAAGGTTCTGGAGTCCCTATTTAAAAAGAAGGAAAAGAAGTTAGCAGTTTGTGCATTTCCCCCAGAGGATTCAGAGGGAAAGGCACAGCCTGGGAACCTGCTGCCTCCTCCGAACTGGGGGATTTTTAGCTGCTTAATACCCAGCTCACTAATTACAATTATTACTGTTATTGTGCTTTTATCCAGCGCTTTTCTATGGAGAAGTTTCGCTGTTTTTATTATTAGCCCATCAGTGGGGGAAAGAGATCAATGCCAGGGTGGGAGGTAGATAAGGGATTGTGGCTGCGTTTCCAGGCTGCCCCACTGTGCCTCAGTCTCCCTGCCCGTAGCAGATGGGGCCGTCCTCTTACGTTGAGAGAAACTTCACAGGGGTGGTCTGTTGCACAGCCCATTGGACTGGCATTGACCCCAGGCCAGGATCTACACTGAGGCTTGGCATACCTGCCACATTAAAGGCATTGGCCTTGCCCTCAAAGCTTTAGATTGAGCACAGAGAAAAAGAAGGCCTTGCCCCAATCCACATGGCTCAGTGGGCTGAGCGTTCAGGGCATGTGCCTGGGTTGCGAGCCAGGTCCCCAGTTAGGGGTGTGCCAGAGGCAACCGATAGATGTTTCTCTCTCACATCCCTTTCTTTCTCCCTCCTTTCCCCTCTCTCTAAAAATAAATAAAAATCTTAAAGAAAGAAGAAGACCCGAAAGAAACCAGATTAGGTTATTAAATCCGAGGATTAGCATCGTTGCTCCTGGAAGGAGCTCCAGTCTGGTACCTGAAGAGCTAATTTCTAGTCCTGGCTCTGACACCAGTTTACAGGTCACCCTGGGTGAAGCCACCTGCCCTCTCTGAGCCTCAGTCCTCTTGTCCCCTGGGATGAGGCCCCCATGGGCTTGTGACCCTCAGAGGCTCCAGGCCCCGTTCCAGCAAGTGGGGCTACTCAGTGCCCTGGGGTGGGGCTGGCCCAGGACCTGTAAACCAGGCGGTTCTGAGAGAGGCTCTTGGAGAAGACCTTCCCTGAGGAGCTCTGCTGCCCTGGGTGCCTTCGTGGCTGTGTCCCTCGCCCAGAGTCAGCGGCCTGGGCTGCTCAGCTCCTTGCCCTCACTCTGCCCCAGACCAGAATGAGGGCACGGCTGTGATGGGCTCAGCTCGGCCTGAGGTGGTGAGGGCTGCTCCCAGGGCTGGTGCTGCAGCCAGCAGACCCTGCAGTAGGAAGGGAGTCCCCTGCATCTCCTCGGGGCCCTCACTGCCCAGCTGCCCACGTGGAGGCGCAGCCAGACGTTCAAGCTGCTTCCGTTCAGGCTGCTTCACCTGCCCATGAGCCTTTTCTAACAAGCCCAGCAGGAGGGCTTTCCTCACCACCACCCCCCCGCCCCCCCCGCCCCGCCAAGTGTGTACTGTGCCTCACAGTCTCAAACACCCGAGCCCCACTGATGAGTGAGTACACGCTGGCATTACCAACAGGTGGGAAACTGAGGCACAAAGCACAGGGGCCTGACCACACAGTGAGGCCATAGCAGAGGTGGGATGAGAAGCAGGTCTCAGCCATGGTCGCCGTGTGCCCCTGCACGCCCCAGAGCCCAGAGGCCGGGCGGGCGGTGTGGGCCGCGGAATGAGGAGGAGGCGGCTCTTGCTGCCGAGCTGCTTTAGCATCCCAGACGCTATTGTTTTCCTCGGTGGGTTCGCTGCCTCTCCTCATCCCCAACAATCTGTTCCTCTGTCTTCTCGCATATATATAGTTTCCCCCTCCCTCAGCTGTAAGCCTTCTCCCACTTTCCATCCTTCTCTGTTTCATCACGTGGGCAGGAAGGCTCTGGAAGCGGCAGATCCGAGCAGCTGCGGGGGAGGCTGTTTGGCAGGGGTAGCAAGGGTCCGGGCCCAGCAGAGCTTCCACCCTCAGGCGGCACCTCTCTGCGATGCTGTTCACTCTTCCCCTCCCTCAGTACCGCGGGGGCGAGATATGGAGTCAGGCTCCAAGAGTGGGCAGGGCGGTGTCCTGGAGGAGACCCGGGTCCCAGACAGTGACCTCACAGCTCCCTCCTGCTGCCCTTTGTCTCCCCACTGGACCAGACCTGGCCTTGGGGGAAGGGAAAGCAGGCTCCCTGCCCCCTCCCACCCCCCCCGGCTGGTGGCTTCGTGTGCAGCACGTACAGCAGTCACATTCACCAGAGCTGTGGTTCCCAGGCGGGTGCGCAAAATACTAGGGAGCTGCTGCTGGCTTCTTTTTTCTCCCCTTTGAATGTCTTACTGGAAAATTTAAAACACACCCACAGACCAAGAAAGAGGACCCCCACCTACCCTCCCCAGCCTCAGCAGTTCTGAACTCAGGACCAGGCCCATTTCACCCAAACCCTCCACTCAGCTGATGACTTTTTTAAAAGTACAACAATAGTACAATATCACACCTAAAAGGCTGAACTGCCCAGTCCCCGTTTCCCACATTGTCTCATGAATGCTTTTTGTTTTGTCTTGTGTGTTCAAATAAGGGGCCACGCTGCTCTGGGGCCTCTTAGTGTTAACCTGGTGGTTTTTCCCCGGCCAGTTTATTTGTTGAAGCCATTGGTCGGCGTAGCTGTGTTGCTACATCTTGGGCCACAACTCAGTAGGCTGCATCAGAATCCGGGGTGGGGACAACTAGACTCAACAGCTCCCCGGGTGGACGTATGTTGTGACCATGCAGCGGGCATCAGTCTCTGAAGTCAGCTGGGTGTCCTTGGGCAGCTCCCTTCCCCTCATCTGCCGACCTCAGGGGTTCGTGGTGCCGGTTAGGTGGGCTCCTGGGAGCTGTGAGGTGCTGTGCTGGACGTTAGCAGGTGTGCGGGCAGGGGGCGGGGAGCGGGGAGCGAGTGCCCCAGGCAGCCGGAACGGCCTCTGTCCGGCTGCCCCAGGCGTGCAGGGCCCCTTGCCTTGTAAAACCCTTCCCTGCCTCTCTCCCCGTCCCTTCTCCCCCTCCCCCTGGCCCAGCCTTTAATCATTGGGGGGGGTGTTTTTTGTTTTTGTTTTTCAAGGTGATTAAAACCCCTCTGATTTTTGTCGACCCTAATCGCAGTCCAGCTGGCCAGGCTGCAGGCGCCCCGAGGAAGGCCCGGGCCTCGGAGAGCACGGCCAGGAGCTCCTCCTCAGAGAGCGAGGATGAGGATGTGATCCCCGCCACGCAGTGCTTGACTTCTGGTGAGCGTGGGGGCGAGCGTGGACCCGCCACAAAGGGCTGAATCCCCTGCTGCAACCCCTGGGCTCAGTTGGGAGGGGCTGCCCCGCACATGCCCTGAAGGCAGAGGATGCTGGCAGGGTCACCTAGCAGGTTGTTGGTCAGGAAGGGCTTAGGACAAGGTCTCTGGGCACTGCATTGGCTCATCCGATGAGGGGCTGGCTCAGGAGAAATATTTGCTGGGGCTTCTCCATGCCAGCCCTAGTGGGTACAGCCCAGAAGAGAGGCTCCGTGTGGCAGGGATCAGGTGTCTGTATGGTCAGGATGAGCTTTGTAACAGCTGCCTGCATGAGCATGGAGAGGGCTGTGAGGTGGTAGTGAGTCTCCCATTCCCACTGGCATGTAAAGGGGGTTAGGTAATCCCTAAACCCTAGACGCCGCAGGGAAGTTCTCTCTATCAGCGGAGACAGGACCACATCTGGGATTTCTTTGATATTTGAGAATCTGATTCTACCAGTGATAGCAAGAAAATGGTGGATTAGTATTACTTTTATGACATCTTTTAATAGGGATATTAATACCTAATTTTGGTAGGCCAAGTGAGAAATACAGACTAGTACCAAAGAAAAAAATGTTACCTGTGGCCCCACCAGAATAATTACTGTTAAAATTTTACAGCTGATAACTTTACAGAAACCTGAGCTATATCCATGGGTTTTTAGTGAGACCCTGTTGTACATGTGCTCGAAAACCTTTACTTGCTAATACTGTGACATCACATATTCACAGCGTGATTCCTGCTGGCTGCAAAGCAGTGCTCTGGGTGGGCATGCCGCAGTTTTTAGCCAGGGCCATGTTGGAGGAAGCTGAGGGTTTGTTGGGGCCGTTCTTTGGCTTTTGTACTTAGTGCTACAGTGAGCACTGTGTAGCTGAGCCTTGGCAGGGGACCACGGTGATTCTCACAAGAGACTGTCAACTCCACGGAGAGTCGCAGCAGCTGGGCCAGCCGAGAGGAAACATCTCGGCTCGGAGAGCTGAAGCGTCGGGAGGGGATACAGAGAAAGCCAGGGTCACTGGCCCAGCAGCCACGTGACCTCCCTGGGCCTGTGACATGGAGATGCAGCAGCTTGGATGTCTTGGGGAGGACATTACACAGGCTTCCACTGTATAAGCCCTGAGCAGTGCGCTGAGTCCCGGGAGGGCTGGTAGATCGGGTGTTGCCACCACTGAGGAGGCTGCGGGGCTTCTGTGTCCTAATGGGCACCTCATCCCACTCCATTTCAGCCATTAGAACCAATGCGGTGTCCACACCTGCAGCCCACGCAAGGACAGCCCTCGGAGCCAAAAGCAGTGAGGTGTCCAGTCGGGTGACAGGAGGCAAGAAGCAGGAGGCACCTGCCCCTCAGGTATGTGGCGGGCAAGGGGTTGCTGTGTGGGCCAGCAGGGTGAGGAGGCCCCCCGCCCTCATCCTCCGCCCCCTCCCCCCATGTGTACACACACGTGTTGCTGTGGGCGCGGCAGCCTGCTCTCACCACGCCCACACCTGGGAGCAGCTGTTCCTCGCAGCCGGAGCTCTCCTGGCCCTCTGGCCACACGGTACCCAAGCTCCCGGGTGACCCTGGAGTGGTCAGGAGCAGTAACCCGGGAACGTGGCACCGCGCAGAGCCACTGCCGCCCTGTGTCCCTCATCAGGCTTTCTAACATGGCTGGGCTTTTGATTTGTTGGTTTGTTTCCGGCCCCCCGCCAATCCTGAGAGGCCAAAAATGAAAGTCTTCCTTTTTTACTGTTCCTAGTAGTGACTTAACTTCCCAACCTTCACCATTTTCAATGCGTTTTTCTTTGGTCCTCGCCTGAATCTAAAAACAGCAGGGAGAGTTCATGGCTCCCAGTCCGTTGCTCTTTGGGCCTCACCAGTTCGTTTCCCTGTTTCCTCACCCCGTCTTTCAGAGCAAACAGGAGAGAGTTGGGGGAGGCCGGGACAGAAGTTGGGCCCCCTCAGCTCAGAGGGGCTCCTCACAGCTGGGCAGGTGTCTGGGCTGTGGGCACTGCATCCACTCGGCCAGCAGATGGTGCTGAGCCTCTGTCCATGCCGGGCGCTGGGAATGTAGCAGGGACAAGACAGGGAGGTCGCTGCCCCTGTGGGGTTTCTGCGTGAGGTTCCGTGGCAGCCACTACAGAAGGAAACCGGAAACAAAAGTACTCACTAACTGGCGTGTGGTTTGAAGGAAGCAGCGTTAACTGGAGAACGATGGGGGATGAGCTGCTTTAGAAGGATGGGCAGGGGAGGCCTCCCCGAAGGGGGGTGTGGAGGCAGGAGGAGCAGCCCGGTGGGCAAGCGGGGGAGCACTCCAGGCGGGGACACCTGGTGCAGGGGCCCTCTGGGAAAGTGCGAGGGGGTCAGAGCGCTGGAGAAAGCAGCATGGGGCAAGGGCTGCATGGCCCCCAGAGGGCAGCTGGGGGCCAGGTTTAGGGCGAGGAGGCATGCCCAGCTCTCTCTCCCTAATTGCTGGCGGGTGTGGGAAGCAGGAGTGGCACGAGGTGGGCTGTTCAGGAGGCTACTGTCGCCACCAGACTAGAGGCTTGTCCCCAGCAGAGGCTCAAGTTGAGTGGTGGGCGCTGCTCGTGTTTTTGGAGCCTCTGAGAATGATGTGATTAGCTCATCACCCAAAGCCTGGCCCTGTGTCCTGGGCAGATGTTGGCATGGCCCCTTCGACCCCCTCCTCAGTCCCCACTCCAGCCCCATGGCTCCTTGCAGATACAGATCCCCTCCCACCCCAGCAAGACGAGATCTGACCAGGGTGTGTCAGTGGTGACACCTGAGAACCCAGGAGTCTCAGGGCCGCCTTTGGCTGTCCACAGGTGACAAAGAGGAACCTGGCTAACCTCCCGCTGACCCAGGCCGCCCTGAAGGTCCTTGCCCAGAAAGCCAGTGAGGCCCAGCCTCCTGCTGCCAGAACCCCATCTTCGAGTGGGGTGAGCTGGGGAACCCCGGGGTCCAGCCCTGCCCTGGAGGGAACAGCAATCAGAGGCACAGAGGGTAGAGGGAGGCCCAGGCAAGGGCCCCAGGTCCAGCACCAGCACTGGCCCGCCCCGTGTCCTCCACACACGTGTGCGCTCGCATCCCGGGCCACGGCTGCCGTCGGAGAGGGCTGTGGTGGGGTTAAGTGAGGCCTGTACGCGAAGCAGCCCGCCCGGTGTCAGGCCTTTAACTGAGGTGTTGAGTAAGCATCAGATCTTATTTTCCCTAATTTTTCCTTTCATTTTCTCCTTTCACCCAATTAGGTTGATGGTGCTCTGGGAACAGCCCCTGTGGCGAGTCCCCAGAGCACCCCTGCGAAAGCCAGAGGGGCCAGCAAGCTCAGAAAGCCCAAGGTTCCTGCGGTCCAGCCGGCCACAGCCCCTCCGCGGGGACGCCCTAAAGCCAAGGCCCCTGGGACCTCAGATGGCAGCGACAGCAGCAGCAGCTCTTCAGGGGACGAGGAGGATGCTAAGAGGCCCCAGATGGCCCTGCTGACCCACAGGCCAGGTGAGGGTCTCAGGGGGAAAGGCTGGGTGGCCCCGAGGAGGGGAGAGGTAGCCGGTGGGGCCCTAGGCTCAGGCCTCTGCTCTGTGTCTCCGCTTGCTCTGCCACCTTGGCCCGGTCATCCCACACTGGGCCTCAGTCTCCCCATCTGTACAACCCCTTAAGGAAGTTGGTCCAGACTCCATCAAAGTCCCTTTGGTGCTGCTGTTTGACCGCTCCCAGCTCTTTGGAATCAGACTCCCATAACAGACTCCACCAAAATCCCAGGGCCAACCCACCCCTACCCCAGAAAAACAAAGAAGGGTAAGGGGGCTTCGGCAATTAGAATGGAAGGTTCTGGCATTCGGGTGTCTCGCCTGGAATGCTGTGACCGTGGACAGGAGGGTGAGGCGTGCAGAGGGGCCCAGCCCTCCCAAGGGCTCTGTCTCACCCCGTGGCAGGGCGCACCCGGGGCTCCCAACAGGACGCCTGTGCTCCTCCGGTAGGTCCAGCGCCCTCCAGAAGCGAGACCGTGGTGGAGGAGACCACGGCAGAGTCCAGCGAGGGTGAGGCGGTCGCGCCCTCCCAGGTAACAGCAAGGGGGAGGGCTGGCAACCTCAGGGGTTCTGGGCCAGGAGCCCCCGGTCAGAGGTCTGGGCCCTTCTTCCAGGGGCCCTGGGCAGGGTCCTATCTGTGGAGCCGGGCTGTCTCTTCCCTCGAGGCCCCATTTCAGCATGAAGCCATGAGTAGCTGACGCTTGGAGTCTGTACCCTGATGTGAGGTGATTCCCAGATAAAAACACTCCTTAACAGATGGGATCTCTTTTAAGGTTATCCTCTGCACATGGCAAGCGCTGGTGATTTTCCATTTGCATTAGTAATAAGAATACTTCCTTTTTAAATGCGCCTAAAATATGTACTCATTAAAACAGAACAGGAGGTACACACAAAGAGCTGACGTCCCCACCACCCAGGCCGACGGGGCTGACTCGATCTTAGGGGTCGCTGGGCCGGCTGCGCTCAGGGGCTGGTGGGGTGGGATCCCGGCCTCTTTCACACTGGGCTTCTTCAGTCTCTCCTCTCAGGTTATGTGACCCCTGGGCTGACTCCAGCCAATTCCCAGGCTGCAAAGGCCACTCTGAAGCCAGCCCCCAGCCCCTCGGGTTCCTCTCCTCCGGCCACCAGTGATGCCCCGGATGGCAAGTGGGAAGTGGGGCCCCAGCAAGCGGCAGGCACCATGGCCCCTAACCCAGGTGAGTCGAGGGCCGCAGGAAGGACACAGCAGGGCATGGGGGGACAAGGCAGTGGCCTCCTTGTTTCCCTCCCTCAGATAGTCCCACCGGTGTGGTCCCGTCTGTCACCAGGGCTTCGCCCAGTGGGGCCTGGCTCCTCTGCTCGGGCTTCTGGGAGGAGACCCCCGCCATAGCGGAAGGGCACCCTGACTTGCAGAGTGTAGAACTGGGCTCTCTCTAGCTGACCCTGTTGACCTTTCTTCCTAACAAGTGGGCTTATGGTGTGGGATCTAGGGAGTCAGGGAGCTCAGATGAAAGACAAGAGCCACATCAGAGAAGTCTCTAGCACATGGTGAAGACCCCAGATGATGGGCTGACTTTCTCCGAAGCTTCAGACGAGCCCCTGGTCACTGGTGGCCTCTCTGTCGTAACAGGGCAGGGGCCGGTGCGAGCTGTTGGTGTCCGGATGTGGCACACACAGAGGAAAATAGTCACATGCTGTCTCAGGGGCAGACTGGAATGCCTAGGTCATCCAGCCTAGGGCATCTGCCTCCCTGACTCCGCCAGAGCCAAGGGATGGGCATCTCAGGTGGGCACACCTGGGATAGCTCTCGGGGCACCCCAGCCTTGGTGCTGTGGGTATTTGTAAACAGGAAGCAGAGACGAGGACTGCGGGGAGAGAGGTTGTCAGGCTGCCTGTACCGTCCTCAGTTTCCCCTCCACCCAACTCCGGCCCTTGCTAGGAAGCACCAAAGGACTGCGCTGGAGCTCTGCCTGAGCTGGGGCACCCTCTGCTCGGCCCGCTCTGCCCACCACAGCTGGAGCCAGGGCTGCCGCAGGCCTGCCTGGGGCCCACTGCCTGCTGCCAGGAGAGTCCCGGCCTCGGAACCACCGCAGGGCCGGGCCACCAGGCACCTCTCAGAGCCCAACGTGTGGGAGGGCTATGCCCTGAGGCCCACATGGAGTGGGGACCTGCCAGCCGCCGGGGAAGTTCAGGTGGTGTGGGACGGTGCCACGGTCCCACGGTCCCTGGGCTTTTGGCTGCGGCTTCCCCGGTGCCAGGTCAGAGGAGTGTGCGCTCACTCGCCTCCCTGGCCTTCTCTCTGTGAGAGGCAGTGGTGTTGGGCCGACATTTTAGAGGTGGCTGTTGGGGGGTTTGACACGTGCAGTCAGTACGGTTATCAAATAAGAGCAGAAGCATGGAAAATTCTAAACAAAGGCTGCACCAGCAGCCACTCCGGCAGACAGAAAGCCTGCTCAGTCAGCAGCCACATGCGCACGCCGCCCCCGTCAACCCCAGGCCGCCCAGACTCCTGGGCGGGGAGGGCCGTGGGCCCACTGTGCACAGACGGACGTGCATTGAGTGGCTGCGTGGCCATCACATTTCTGTGACTCTGCAGTATAGAATGGGGGGCCTCACTGTTCCTCTAACCTCTCATTTTACAAACGGGGGAACAGGCTGTGGGAGGAGCAGGGTCATAGAGCAAGTTAGTGGTAGTTGGACCTGGAACCCGGGCCTCCTGCTTCCTGGCTCAGGACTTCTGACTGGACGACACCGTCTCCCTCCTATCTGACCTTTCGTTGTGTTGACAGATTTCAGGCCCTTTCCTTAACACTCTGGAGTCAGGTTCCCTTCCCAGCCTGAACTTGAGATTTTAGTGTGAAGGAGCAAAGCACAGAGCTCTAGATTAGAAGGTGGCGGGAAGGTGTGGGCTAGGCGACCTTGTGGGAGAAGAGTGACCGTTATCCAAGGAGGCCAGTCCTGTCCCTGGATCCCCTTGGCTCTCGTACCACGAGCAGTCTGTTTCCCAGTCCCCCAGATCCATGTCACAGGCCCTCTCTCTGCAGGCAAAAGAGAGGCTGGCACCACGGCTCCAAAGCCCCAGAAGCCCGGGAAGGGAGCTGGGGACCTCCAAGCCTCGATGCTGGCACTGCAGAGCGACATCACCCGGCGCCTCCTGAGTGAGCCCTTGCCCCTGAGCGAGGCCCAGGTCCAGGCCTCGGTGGCGAAGGTCCTGGCAGAGCTTCTGGAGCAGGAGAGGAAGAAAGCCACAGAGGCCGCCAAGGAGAGCGGCAAGAAGAGCCACAAGCGGAAGTTGTTGGGAGACCAGGTGGCCGCCAGGGCTCCCAAGAGCAAGAAGAAGAAGCAGGTGGCGGCCGGGGAAGGCGGGGAGGGTGCCTTTTCCTCAGAAAAGGCCCCCAGGACTAGCAAGGGGAAGTCTAAGAGACACACAGCGAGTGGTGACAGCAAGGAGCAGAAGGAGAAGGAGGCTCCTGGCTCCCCAAGCACCAAGGACAAGCCAGAAGGAGAGCCGGAGACGGTGAAGGTTGAGGGTGGAGACCAAGCCAACCTAAAGAACAAGAAGGAGAAGAAAAAATCTGACAAGAGTAAGTGGCCGTCTGCAGCCCGGCCCTACCCTGAGGGCTGTCCATCACCACACAGGCGGGGCAGGCCCTAGGCCGCAGCTGAAGGGAGAGGCTGAGAAACAGTTGTGTCCAGGGTCACGGTGGGCGGCTCCTGGCAAAGCCGGGACTGTACCCCAGAGCCCCTGGACCTGCGCTGCCAGGGAGACCCCGGGGCTGCAGGGCGTGCCTGCTCCCTCAGCCGTACGCACCCCTGCGCAGCATCCCCCTCCCCGAGGGGAAGCCGCCCCTCACTGGCCTCTGCGCTAGAATCCGCGCACAGTGGGGCCTCATTTAACCTGTATTCCACGTGGGGTTTCATTCCCACTTTACAGGTAGAAAGTGTCTTAAATAACATATATATGTTTTTAAAAGTGAGTTAAAGAAAAATAGTAATGCTCCAGATAGGCCACGTATGGGGCAGAAATGATGAGGCCCAGGCAGGTGGTGACAGGCCTGTGGGCGTATTTCCATGGCTCCCCTGGGTGTGGGGAGACCCGGGGACCAGCATCGGGAGGAGCGACTTCTGGGATCCCTGGAGACCTACCCTGCGTATCTCCCGACATTGACCCCAAAGCTTAAGCTTAACATTTGTTGTTTAGGAAGTTTACTTTCTTCCCTCAGAAAAAAAAGACAAGGAAAAAAAGGAAAAGAAAAAGAAAGCAAAAAAGGTCTCAACTAAAGACCCTGACTCACAATTACAGAAAAAAAAGAAGAAAAAGGTAAAGGGAGTTCCTGAGGGTTTCAGGCCAGCAAAGGGACCCAACCTGCGATCAGCCTCCCAGGCTGCGTGATCAGCCCCACCCGTGCATGGCAGCAGGGCAGGAGCCAGACCAGGTTCCTGCCCCCTTTCGGGGGGGGGCGGGGCGGGGCGGTGAGTTGTGACACTAGAGAAGAGCCACCTCAAGGAGGGACAAGGTCTGTGCGTGTAGAAGTCACAGAAGCGACCCTGCCTTGTCTGTGAGGTAGAAGGATGTTCTTGGGACTGGGAGGGGAGGAGACCCCCAGGAGACACAGAGGCTGGTGCGGGCTCCAGGTGAGAGGGGAGCCGCTCCCTGGGGTGTATGTGCCCCAGCTGGCCGGGATCCCCTCCACAGAAACGCTCGCCCTTGTCTGCCTCCTGGGTGACGGAGGCTGCTCACCTGAAGGCGGGGGCGGGGAGACTCGGCACCTGTAGAGACGAAGCTCTCACTGGCCCGCAGGCCCTCAGTTGTGTTCAGAAAAGCTGAGCGTCCCCACGGCACAGTCCTGGCTCCTTCCTGGAGGGCATGTGGGGCACTGTCCCTGTCCTCGGGGATCCCTCTGTACCCAGCATCTGTTCTTGGGGGGCCTTGTGTCCTCAGGAGCGAACCCTCGCCTGCCCTCCTGGTGGGGGCGGCATGGGTGGGGAGACACTTCAGGTACAAGACCCTCTTGCATTTCTCTCCTCACAGAAGAAGACGGCACAGCAGACTCTCTGAGGGGCACGAGGTGACAGGTACGCTCCCGGCCCAGGGACCCTCGCTGACTGTGCGACCCCCGGTGAGGGTCGGAGGGCAGCTCCAGCGTTGCCATGGTCCCAGGGAGCCAGGCAGGACCTGGAGGTGGTCCCCGAGGGAAAGGGGTGGAGAAAGAGGTTCCGTCCCTAAGGTCAGTGCGGCGGTGCCAGGAGCTGGAGCTGCAGGGCAGCCAGGGCGATGGCTGGCACTCCCTGGAGGCAGCACTGCAGGTTCCCTCGCAGGTGGGCCCTGGGATGGGCCCCTTTGTGGATGAGGATAAGGCCTGAGCTCCGTCTCTCCCTCGCTGCTCTCTGCTTCCTTTTCCTTGGGCTCATTAACCTGAGGGCATTTGTTTGTGGGAAAGAAGGTGGTTTGCCCAAGACGAGCCATTTCAGTGGACCTGTGCTCCCCAGGTGGTGGTGAAGGGGCTAAGTGCTCCGCGCGGTGGGCCGTGCAGAGCCTGCCTGGGCTGGGGGCAGGGCCAAATGGAGCTGGGCAAGCGTCCGCCGGCCTTCCGGGCCGTGGCCAGGGCTACAGGGTCCGCTGGGCTTAGCTAATGCCCGTCCCCTACGTCCACATGCCAGGCTTTGATTTGATTTGATTTTCTTTGATGGAGACAAAAGTCAGTAGACCTCTCATCTAGATAGATGTGTTTCCTCTCCCCAGGGATTCCTTAACCAAGCGGTGCACAAGGCCTCTGCCCTCGGCCCACCATGGATTGGAATTGAACTTTGAATTTCCCCTTCCTCCCCAGAAGAAGACTGCCAGCCGCAGTGTTCGTGCTGGCCCCGCCATGAGCCCTGCAGAGGCTGGTCTGAGGAGGCGCAGGAGGAGGAGGAGAAGGGAGTGCGCCCAGTTCCGTGACTTCCATTCACTGACCCCGCGCTGACCTGTCCTGGCAAAGGACACTTCATACAGATGTGTACAGTATATATATATTTTTTTAAGTGACCTGCCCCTCCCGCCTCAGACCCAACATGCCGGGAGGCCTTGGGACCTTCCACCTCTTTCCCCTGCAGACCCAGTGAGGCCTGGCCTGCTGCTCCTTCCCTGTCCCTGGTCCCTGGCTGGTGCTGAGGACTTGTCCTTTTGTCAGTTTTTTCCCCATTTTGTGCTTTTGTAAGAACTCATAAAATAAAAGACTTAAAGGAACGGTGCAAGTTCCAGTGCTCCTGGGGCAAAGATTTTGCAGTTCACTTATTCATGGAAGGGAGTCTGGCTGACACTTGAAGGTCAGCAAGCCATTGCTCAGGATTTGTTCCTGGCTGCGTAACGAGGCCCTGGGATGCTGTGCTGAGTGGGACAGTTTGCCTCAGTTAAGTATCTAGGGCTGAATTGGGATGGGGAAGGCTTCCTGGGGGAGGAGACATAACTAAGGGGGAGCTTAAATATGGTCATGGTTGCCAGATGCTGGGGTGGGCCAGGCAAACACCCAGAGGCAAGAGATGGGAGGGGCCCTTTGGGGTACCTGGGGGCAGGCACAGGAGGAGCAGAAAATCTAGTTAGGACTGGATTGCCCGTGTGATCAGGAAGCAGGTTCTGAAACGACGAAGGCGAGAAGTAGATGGACAGAAAAGATTCATCAGGGCGACATCGCCAGGTTGGCGACGGCCAGCAGCGCGGAGGCCTACTTCCCTGGGCCCAGGGCCGTGGGGAGCTTTTTCTCGAACGCATTTGGCCTCCTGCTAGACACAGCGAGAGGCTGCGCAGGAAAAGCGAGCACTGAGCTGGGGAGGACTTGGAGGCCGAGGCCAGCATCTGGCTGCACCCTTGACCCAGGGCCCCTGGGCAAGGCCCTCAGAGCTGCTTCCTCCCCGTAGTGTGTTGGTCTAGCGCAGAGGCCACAGAGGGGTGTCCGGTTGGGTTTCGTTGAAATGGAGATGTTATATTGAACATCTCGATTCTGCCCTCCTCTTGAAAAGTCAGGAAATTTGGCAACAGGGGCCTCCATTCCTTCCTGGCAGCAACCAGCCGAGGTCCTTGTGTTGCCCTTTGCCATCACATTTGTCTTAGTATAGCAGTGAAAATCGGGGTGTGGGGAGCGGAAGCTGGACCGAGAGGAGTTTGTGCTTAAAGAACTTTGGGCAAGAGCCTATTTCCTTTTAGGAGCAGAGCCTGCCTCTGGCTAAACATGGAAACCAAGTGTGCCTGTGTATCAAGCCTGCCACCCCGCAGCGCTGCCCGGCCCCACAGGCGACGTGCTGGGCCTCCCCGCGCTGCATCCTCCCACCCAGGCCACTAGGTTCAAGCACTGCAGTCGCCTCCTTGGAGTAAACAAACCAGACCCCAGCAGAACAGCCAGGAGCCAAAAGTGGTCTACAATCTACATTTTATTCTCACAGTAGCCACCCTAAGGGTTGATGACAAGCTTGCTGCGCAGGGGAACTGGGGGCTGGCAGAGAGGAGGGGTTGTAGTGGAGAGGCTGGTTCTTCTGGTGAGTGATGCTGGAGACCAAGGGTGGCTCGTGCCCCCAGTTACATAGGCTCGAAAGCCAAGGCTAAAGGCAGAAGGGGAGGGACAGCAGTCTGTCCTACCTTGGGGACTTAGGGGAACATCCTCCCTTCTCCCTGCACCTGCACTCCTTGTCCATGGGTCTAGGTCTTGGAGCTCCATGTTGGGGGCTGCCGTGGTGTCAGAAATGGGTCAGCTTAGCTCATGGTCCACCTCCTCGGGCCTTGTGTCCCTGTTGTTGGATGGAGCTTGGGCAGGAGGGCCCTCCCGTGTCATTAATTCGTGCTGTTCTGATACGATTTGTTGTGTCCAAGGATGATGGAGAGCCAGGTGCCAGAGTCTCATGGAATGAGGTGCAAGGTGGGGGTGGAAGGGGAGGAGTATGGGGCTAGGGTTGGGGGTAGAAGACAGCAAGACAGCAAGGAAGCTGTGGCCATGCAGAGCTGTCAGGGGCCTGGTGTCTTCAATTGCTGTTCTCACACCATGGCTACAGAGAGAGAAGCAGCAGGTTAGGGTTCGAGCCACCAGTTGTCTCTACCCCTTCCCAGCATCCTGGGGCCTCAAAACAGTTGAGGATTCCCCGCTCTCCAGTGGCCCCTGCTCAGGTACAAGTACTGACTATCACGTAGCCACCCACACCCCCGTTCCTCCTCCCCCCAGGAGGGAGAGGAAGGGGTTGGCCCGGCTGGGGACTGGATCCCCTCTGGAGGGGCCATTACCTTGGGTCAGATCGGGCTTGGTCACACCCAGCCCAGATGACAGATCCTCCATGTCCAATGGATCTGCAAAGGAGCAGCAAGGCCACTGGTTAGTTGCAGTCCAGCTACTGTGCCCACTGGTGAGGGGCCTAGGGTTATTCCCAGCCTGGCCGCAGCCCTGTTCTGGGAGAGCAGGTGCCACGTGGAAGGGTACGTGCTGGACAGCGGCGATGAAGTGTAGTTGGGGAATCAAGAGAAAGGCCAGGAAGGGGGTGATGAAATGAGATGGGTGGATCTGTAAGGCTTCGGGATGCCTAAGGGGATAGTGTGCAGGTGGGCAAAAGCCACAAGGAAAGGATGAAAGGATAAGTGAACAAGTCGATGAGTGTGGCTATAAGGACAGAAGTGACGGATGGACAAACAGATGAGGAATGCGCAGGTAGGTAGAGGGACAAAGGGGTGCATGCGTGGCTGCGTGGCTGCCCCCCGCGGGAGCTTACACCTTGACTGTCCTGGCCACGTGTGCACCAGGGGAAACTTCTGGGCCCTCAGCCTTCCTGGTCTTCCTGCTCCTTTGACACTCCCTGGCACAGTGGCCGCTGCTTACCACTGCAGTTATGGTGCAGGTGCCCACGGCTTCTGGTGTGGGGGACCTCGGTGCCGTTGGGGAAGACGCACCAGCAATAGCCGATGCTCCCATAGCACTGGAGCGGCAAATAGTTGCCGTTCTCGTCGCACTGGGGCTTGAACCTGCCCGGGTGGACGGCAGGGATGCGGCTGGCCTCTTCCAGGCACTTGGTCAGTACTGAAGCGACAGGCATGGTGAAGGCGGTGAGTGAGTGGACTCTGAGCCAAGGTCTCAGCAGAGCCAGAGGTCCACGCACCACTGCTGCGGGCCTAATGCCTCCTGCCCAAGGAACGGTGCTGGCTCTCCCCACTGCACAGATGGGGAGACTGAGGACTGGCCCAGCGCGGCCCCAGACCAAAGAGGAAGTGAGTGGCTGTGTGGCTAATTCATCCTATTATTTGAGGATTTCTTCCGATGCTCCATGCCTATTAAAGTTTGGAATTGCACCTGTGATTTTGATTTCTAGGGAAAAGCAATGGACCCCTGGGTAAGTCTGAGCTTCTGAAACTGGGGGTGTCCCAGTAGAAATGGGGGTCGGTTAGTGGATGCTGTAGAAGGGATTCACAAGATGGTGAATCAAGATGGCGTCTGTGGGGCCTTCTAGGAGTCTATGATGGAGAAACCTGAGGCCCACGCGGCGTGGGCCACTGATGTTCCGCTTCTGAAACTGAAGCCCAGAGCACAGAGATGCTCAAACTTGTGCAGCAGGTTATCACCAGAATTTAAACATGACATTCTTAAAGGCTTCAGAGCTGAAGATCCTGGTATATACATGCTCCACAAGATGGAAAAACCCCAAAGCTCTCTTGTCCGGCACCTGCTGTGACCTCGGGGGTCCCTCTGAGGGGTGAGGAAGGTCACCGCACTGATTGCCCGGACGTTCCAGGTGGTTTCTGCACCGGGCCCACTTGCCCGGTACCATCCTCCAGAGCAAGGTCACCTCCAGACCTCTGCCCTGTGGGCCCTCAGGCAGGGTGGGGGCAGGGGGCAGCCAAGCCCAGAAGGAACAGACAGGAGAGACAGGAGTGAGAGGCAGAGGCTGGGGGAGTCTGGTGTGGTCAGGGAGCGCTCTAGGCCCTCACTTCCATAGCTCTGGGAGCGCCCTGAGGGAGGTCCCAGGAGCCCTAGCACCCCAAGGCTCCCAACTCCCTGTACCTTTTGGTGAATTTTCAGTGGGCTTCTCCAGCGAGTTCTTGCTCATTTCAAACAAGAGCCACTGATGCATCCAGCTCTCAAAGACCTAATGGGGACAGAGGCAGGGGATCAGACTCACCAGCCCTCCCCAGCCCTGCCTGGCTTTGCCCCTGGGGACAGAGGCAGAGGGCTGGGCAGGGTCCCTGCACCCCTGGGTCCAGCTGCAGCCTGGCTCCCCCTTAGAGACCCACAGGGCTTGGACAAGTTGGTTCCTCAACTCCAAGCACCTTTCCGTGTTTGCAGCTTTTTAAGTTCTGGTAAGCTTCCTCCAGCTTCCCGAGAGTGGCTTCCCTGGCCCACCCTCCACCTCTCCGCCCCCAGCCCTGCCCCAGCCATCGGGAGAGGGGGCACCTTCCAGTCCAGGCCCCCCATGGTGCTCTTGAGTTTCTTCAGGTTCTCCGGGAAGGTCCCCTTCAGCTGCGGGTACGTCTTCAGGGGGTCAGCTCTCTGCAGGGGAGCAGGGCAGGAAGGAAGGTTAAACAGAGCTCCTGGCAGGTAAGGGGAAATGCGCAACCCATGTCGCGCTGGCCTTCCCTTTTGAGGGGTGGACCCGAGCTGTGGCAAGCTTGGACCCAGGACCTCAGCCACGGTGGGGCTGGGGGGAGCGGAGGAAGTAAAGGCAGGCTAGCTGCACAGCTACAAGACCCTAAGGCTGGAAGGTGGGAGAACCAGCTTCCAGGCCCTGTTACACCAGTAACCCCTGTCTTCTGTTTCCAGATGCCTGCTCATCTCTCGGGCATCTCCTCCTCCAGGAAGACCTTGTGGATCTTACCCCGAGCTGGGTTGGGTCTCCTGCATCTCTCCTCACAAAGGCCCCTGCACATCCGTCATCCCCTGTCACTTGCCTGTATCCCATGCTAACCTGGGGTCCCTGTGGGGTTGGGACCTGGGTTTGATCGCTCCCCGTTGTGGGCCCAGAGCCTGGCACAGTGCTTGGCACAGAGTAGATGTGCGATCAAAACTTGAGAAGGAAAACGTGGGCGCCTAGGTCTCTGCATCTCAGCCACTCAAAAAAGCATGGGGGGTGGTGGCAAGACGGGAGCACATTCGACATTAAGGAACACCACTCTTGCGTTCCTTCGCTAATTTGGTGAGCCCACATTGAATGTCTACTATGAGCCAGGCCAGGTGCAGGCCTGGGAGCGTGGCTTTGCCTGGGGCCCATGTGGGCAGGTGTCCTTGCCAGGCACCCGTGTGGGCAGGCAGGGCCACCCGCCGGGTCCCACTCACCAGGAGCGCGTGCATCACATGGTCCATTGTGTCGTTGCCGTACTTGGTGGCGTTCTGCATGGGCTGTGGGAGGAAGCAGTGGGGTTATCGGCACCAGCCCCAGGGGAGGGGCCCTGCACGGAGATAGCAGCTGGGGTCTGGGTAAGAGTCCAGAGTCCCAGGTGCTCCACAGGGCCATCTCCGCCACCTCCAAATGTGAGAGCTCGAGCAAGTCACTCCACCCTTCTGCCTCGGTGTCCTTACTGGTCAGACTTGCGTACACTTGCCCACCCAGGGCTTTGTGGGCAGCAGGTAGTTTTGTGAAGAGCAACCTTATCCGTACATAAGGGCTCCGAGAACAGGAGGGGACTGTGAGATGCAGTGGGACAAGAGAAGCACCTCGTGAACAGCAGAGGGCAGGGCTCTCTTCCGCCCATCCTGGGACTCTGCTTCTCCCCAAGGTGGGCCCTGTCCTGCCCTAGCCATCAGGATGCCCCCCAGGTTGGCTTTGTCTCTCCCCGTCCCTCGGCACATGCCCCCCATCCAGGCTAGATAACCTTTCCCCTCGCACCGCCCTGGGGCTGCGCTTACCCCCTGGAGCATGCTGTCCATGGGCAGCACCTGCATCAGCTTGGGGGCGGCCATCCGCATCTGGTTCACAGGCTTGGCAGCTGCAGGGTCGGGAGGGACAGCGTGAGTGTGGCCCCAGTGCCCGGGGAAGAGGGAACTCAGATCTGGGGACCAGGATCTCAGATCCAGGGGAGCAGGGGCTGGAATTCCAGACCAGGAGGAGAGGACAGTGGGCCCAGCTCGGTACAGGAACGGGGTCTCCGAGGTGAGGGATGGTGGAGGCGGGGGCTGGCAGGATGGGGGTGGGGCACGTACACTTGGGAAGCTTCATGCGCAGGCTCTCCAGCTGCAGGTTCTGCGAGGTGATCGTCAGCTTGTCCAGCCGGCCCTGCTGCTGGTACAGGAAGTAGGCAGTGGTGGCCTGACCAGCCAGGAGCAGAGCCACCAGGACGGAAAAGCCTGTGTACAGGGCTCCACGGCTGCACTTGCTGTTGGGGGAGGGAGGAGAAATCAGAGAGTCCATGGAGGTGGCTGCCCTGGGGACTGGCTGGGAATGGGGGAAGGTGGCCCCTCATTTCTACCAGCCCACCCACTTCCATGGCTACCTCTAACACACGCACACACTTTAAGCACAAACAAGTGCCTATGGACATGCAGCCTAAAGACATTCTCCCGGTCCCTACTTCCAACCAATGCAGGCTGTATGGCCCTCCCAAGTTGAAATCCTGGAGCTGCCCCTGGGCCTAGGCTGAGTGGGGAAGAGCCAAGGACAAGTGCCTCGGCCTCTCTCGGCCTCTGTCCCACCTGTGCCATGAGGGGTTGAGGTGGAGGGTCTCCCCAGGTTCCCTCAGCCAGGGGGCCTCCTGAGGATGCGGGCTGCCCTGGAGAGGAAGGGGGCTGTTACCCTCCTACACACCCCACCCCTGCAGTGAAATCAGAAAAGGGAAGGAAGTGGGGCCTGGGCTGCAGAGCTGGCAGGCCCACCTGGAAAAGAGAAGTGAGGCTTTCACATTTCAGGAGCAGGTTGGGGGAATGGGACAGAGCCAGGCTGGAGCAGGCCCGGCACCACCCCTGCGGGCCCCAACTCCCTGTATGTCTTTGAGCAAGTCTCTGCCACTCTCTGGGCTGCCACATGGGTACAGAAGTGTTTCACGTGGTGGTCTCCACTCAGGAGGGGTCCCCACAGGAGTGTGGTGCCTGAGCCTCATGTTCCCTGCGCCGGCTGGCGGCACGGGCAGGGCTGGCCAGGCCGCAGGTCTCAGGGCGCCCTAGCTGCTGCCGGTCTTGGATGCAGTTTGCGGGTCTTGGGTGCAGTTTGGGGGACACAAGTTACAGTGTGGGGGATGTAAGGGTCCTGGCGCAGGACCATGAGGGTTCCTGACCTCACCCCAGGGGCGGGACTCCTAGTAAACCCATTGGAAACTGTCAGGATGAGACAGCACCCTGTTTACTCCAGCCCCCAGCAAGGGGGGCTAGGAAGCGCCAGGACCCCCTTCTGCCCAGGTGCTCGTGGCACCAAAGACACAGTCCTTTCTCACTGGCTTCCCACTGGCCAGCCCGGGGATTGCTGTTCTGGGAGGAGAAAGCAAACACCCCCTGTGGGAATAAGGAGGTGACCAGGCAGGGAGGGCAAACAAGTCCCGCTTCTTGGCCTTTCCAAGGAAGCAGGGTTGCCTAGCTTCCAACGGGGGGTGAAAGGCCCACCGAAGCCTGGGCCTTGCCAGGGTTCAGAGTCTTCAGCTCATTATCAGCGCGCTCCCTCCTTTGGCAACCCCACACCCGGGCTTGTCCCAGCTCTGCCTCTGACCCGTGAACACCCCTTCCCTTCTCTGAACCTCAGTTTCTCATAAGACCTAAGAATCTCGAGAGCTGTATTAAAGATGAGTCCACATAATCTGGATCAGGGCAGCTCTGCCACTCCCTTGGCTCAGGGACCCAGGGCAAGTCAACTTCTCTGAGTAAGATAAGGTAAGGGCATCTACTCAAAAGTGGTTATATTAAATAAGATCATGGGGGTAGAGCTCTCACCTCCATTACTAGCACATAGCACTCCACAGGTAACACTGACTGTGATTCTCAAGGGAGTTAATAGTTAACTTTAACATCTGGCTTCCTTCCTCTTTATACATCTTGAATGCTGTCCCCTGGGTTCTGGACCAGGGCCAACTCATCGTTTCCTCTCTCTTTGTTTCCTCCTTCTACTGCCTTCTTCAATAATAAAGTAACTGGCCAAAGTCAGGAGCCAATCAGAAGTAGCAGGAGTGATGACACAGGTGTTGCCAGGCAGAAGTGTTCACAAGAGGGTCTGAAACTTGCTCAAGTCTGGCATGGCCTGAGTACACAGGGCCAAGCCAGTTTTAGAAGCAGTAGCTGTGCTAAAAGGAAAACCAGACACGGATTTGACGAGGGGGCACCCTCTCTGTACACAGAGCCCATGCTGGGTCTGCAACTCACTAGGTGACCTGAGCTCAGAAGGGTCTCACCTCCCCTCTCTGCAAACTATATCCCTAGGAGTGGACCAGATGGTAGTCAGCCCAAAATACGAAACAACACTAGTCCTGGGTTCAGATTCTGGACTCAATATTCACTACCTGTGATAATTTAGCTAAGTCATTTACCAAAATAAACCTCAATTTTCTATGTAAAGAGTGGGATAATAAAAAATACTTGACTCGTTGGGTTACTGTGAGAATTAGCATTGAATTTAACATTTAGCCGTGTCTGTAATTACTAACAGTAGCTGAGAACTGGTAGCAAGTACACAGTGAAGAGGAACTATTATGACTATTGTCATCAAAGAAGCAGTGATTTATCCAAGTCACATGTGACACCACAGAACCTGGACCAGAATCCAACCATCTCCAACAAGAGAGCTGGCTGGCCCTCCTAGTCACAGGATTCCCTAGGATTTTCACAGATCACTGCTTTAATGGTCTGTATCTGGTTACCTCTCCCGCAGAACGCAGGTCCTCATGACATCTCTGAGTGTCCCTCTCAAATGTCTTTCTGCCTGGCAACAGCTGACATCATCACATCTAGCTCTGAGTCCCAAAGATTCATAAATTCCTTTTTGGAGATAGGGGGAGAAGGGGATACTGAGGTAACTGCCCTCTGGCTCCCCCTCTTTTTTTCAGAAAAACACATGGGTAAGGCCATCTCGAGGCTGGAAGAGGAGCGTGGGGGTCCTCTAGATGGCCCCTTGCTGCCAGGGACGGGGCACAGGCAGAACACAACCCACATCAACCCCCAGCCCTTTCTAGATATTTGGCCAGAGCCCCCTTTGCCCTTTTTGACCCTCTTCCAATATCTTTTAATCCCTCCTGCAGTGGCTGATGTCTCCATCTATTTTATAGACACCTGCAACTCCAATTCCCTTGATACAAACACGTGTACCCATCCATGGTTCTTAGGAGGGCACTCCTATGATGAGCTCTGTCATTCTTTTAGAAACTTTGTTTCCCCATCTAGGATTTATAACATTTTCAAAACCTGGTCCAAGATTTCTAACCTAGGGTTCCTGGCCCAGCCTCAGGGGTCTGTGAAGCCCCTGATATTGTGTGAAGCTCTCGGGAGAGAATACAGAGCTCTCTCCAATTTTCAGAAGGGCAGCTCATGATGTAAAGTTAAAACCCCTGACCCAGAAGAGACCCCTCATTTTACAGGAGGGAGAACCGGAGCCCAGGGCAGGCCAGAGACTTGCTCGAAATCACCCAAACACTGTCGGAGCCAGAGCCTAACTCCATTCCTCCTGTGGCTCTGGTCCACGGCGCCTTCCCCAGCACCTCTGCATGTCTGTGCCCTTGCCTGCTGCGCACACGTACCTCTCTGGGGCTCCAGGGCGCTGGGTCAGCATGGGCAGCTGCTCATGGTTGGAGATGAGGTCGCGCTGGTCATCCATGGTTCTGGTCTCTGGTCTAACCCAAGCCTCTTGCTGTCCTGCTGCTGCCGCTGCTGCCTGTGTGTCTAAGAGCCTGAACCCCTAGCTCACCTCTTGAAGTTTGGACTGAGAAGAAATCTGATTCGTCCACAGGAGGCCACTCCACCCACCTCGTAGAAGTAGAAGTGAAAGCCGCAAAGCTGGAAATACCCTGACTTGAGCAAAGCTGCCTTTGATGGGGCAGGATCAGGAGGGGAAGCTCCCCAGGTAGGTGGAAAGGCCAGTGCGCTCCCATTGGCTGTTGAGGTCCCTCATCACTTGTTTCTGAGCAGACCTTTGGATTCATAAGGTTCTTTGGATGTTTCTAAAAACATCGCTCCCTAGACAGGAAATCATTTTGAAGCAGAAAATGTTTTTGCCTGTCTCCCCTTCTCACCCATAGATATGCAAGTGCGGAAAGGAGCTGCTCACCCTCTGTGAGCTCGGCCAAGTCCCTCTCCACCTCTCTGGCTTCGGATATGTCATCTCCAAAACGAGGGGGGAAGGTTGGACTCAGTGTTCCCTCCACTCCTGTCTAACTCAAGCATTTTATGGACCCGAGTCCACAGTTTCAAGTCTCTGGTAATAATATTTGCCACCATGTACTAAACCCACCTTTGTGCCAGAGCCTGTGCTAATTGTTCCATTGAATCTTTATAGTGACCCTTTGAGGACTGTTTTATTATCTCCATTGACAGATAGAGCCGTGGAGGCTTTGAAAGGCTTCGTGCTTGCCCAGGACCATGCATCCGCGAATTGGTGAAGCCCGTGTTTTTAACCACTCTTCCCTTCTGCCTCCTAATGCTCAAATTGTGTGGCTAAATTTCAGGACAGGGGGCAAAGGAGGAGGAAGGAAAAGAAGAGGGACTAAGAAAGGTTCCCAAGGAAGATTTAACTTTCTGGACAAGGTTTTATTTATTATTCTCCTGTGGCTTATATACCATGTTTATTTTGTTCATCTTTTATCTTTTGTGTGTTTTTAAATTTGCGTTAATAATTTTTTTTAAATTTAAAGACTTTGTGGTTCTAAGATTCAGTGAATCTTCAATTTGAAGAGTCAAGGGACATAGTATATACATATGTGGGGCAAGGGAGAGAGAGAAGCAGACATAGCCCTTGATGCAGCCAGACCAAGTTCAAATCCCAAGTCAGAGGCATCCTAGTTGTGTGACTGAGCCAGTCCCTGAACCTCTGTGTGCTGTTTTTTTTTCTTTTGTAAACTAAGGACAATAATATCAACACTAAAAGTATAGAGTTGTTAGATTAAATAAGTGTTTAGCACAGAGCCTGGTACAATAGGAGATGCTCAAGAAATAAAACTGTTATTATTCAAATATGTATTATTAAGATATTTTTCTGCCCTGATTTCAAATGATACTATGAACCTATAATAATCAAAACAGCATGGTACTGGCACAAAAACAGACACACAAATGAATGGAACAGCATACAGAGCCCAGAGATAAGCCTTCGCTTATATGGTCAATGAATTTGTAACAAAGGAGGCAAGAATGTACAGTGGAGAAATGACAGTTTCTCTCCAACAAGTGATTTTGGGAAAACTGGACAGATACCTGCAAAAAGTGAAACTGGACCCCTTTCCTACACCAGATACAAAAATAAACTCTAAATGGATTAAAGACTTCAATGTAAGACCTGAAACCATAAAACTCCTAGGAGAAGTTGGCAGTATACTATTTCACATTAGTCTTGTAATATCTTTTTTGGATATGTCCCCTCACACAAGGGAAACAAGCAAAAATAAGAAAATGGGAATTCATCAGACTAAAAAGCTTCTTCACAGTGAATGAAATCATCAGCAAAATGAAAAGACAACCTACTGAATGGGAAGAGAATGTATTCACAAATGGTATCCAAAATATATAAGGAACTCCTACAACTCAATTTTAAAAAATGAACAATCTGATAAAAAAATGAAGAGACATTTCTCCAGAGAAGACACGCAGACGGCCAACGGACACATGAAAAGATGTTCTGCATCACTAACCATCGGGAAATGCAAATCAAAGCGACAATGAGGCTTCACTTCACACCCGCTGTGATGGCTGTAATCAAAAAGACAGATAAAAACAAGTGTTGATGAGGATGTGAAGAAACTGGAACCCTCATACACTGCTGATAGGGATGTAAAATAGTACAGCTGCTTTAGAAAACAATTTGGCAATTCCTCACAAAGGTGAATACAGAATTACAGTATGACACAGTAATAATTCTACTCCTTGACATTTACACGAGAAATAAAACCATCACACAAAAACTTGTACACAAATATGCACAGCACCAATATTCATAATAGCCCAAAAGTGAAACAACTCAAATATCCATCAATTGATGAGTGAATGAACAGAATGTGATATATCTGTACAATGGAATATTTTTTAGCCATAAAGAAGAATTAATATCTCAATTTTGTTGTTGTTGTTGTTGTTGTTGCCCTAACTGGTGTGGCTCAGGGGTTGAGTGTTGTCCTGCAAACCGAAAAGTCACCAGTTCAATTCCTGGTCAGGGCACATGCCTGGATTGCAGGCCAGGTCCCCAGTTGGGAGTGTGCAAGAGGCAACCGATCGATGTTCCTCTTGCACATTGATGTTTCCCTCTTTTTCTCCTTCTCTTCCCCTCTCTCTAAAAATAAATAAATAAAATTTAAAAATAAATAAGTAAATAAATTTTTTTAAAAAAGAATGAAATACTGATTCATGTCACAAAATGAATTCTGAAAACATTATGTTAAGTGAAAGAAGCCAGACACATAAAGCTGTATACTGTGATTCAATTTATATGAAATGTCTAGAATAGACAAATCCACAAGGACAGACAGCAGGATGGGGGGACAGGGGACAGGGAATGATTGTTAATGGGCAGAGAGTTTCCTTTTGGGGCGATAAAAATAATTTGGAATTAGTGGTGACGGTTACACAACTTTACGAATATACAGAAAACCGCTGACTTATTTAATTTTAAAATGTTCTTGGTAATAATGGCTGGAACACATAAATACTTCCGCTTCTTCTCTCGCTTTGCTTCTGACATTAAATGACAAAGATTTGTGGGGCTTTTGATTGCTTTTAAGTGTAAATCTATAAGGACAAAGAGAACAGGAGATGAGAAAACAGCAGCAGAATTTTAGAAGCTGGATAGCAGACCCTAGGAAGCTGAATGCCAAACCTGCAGCTAGAAAAGCTAACAAGCCACCTATTTCTGTAGCAGAACAGGCTCAGAAATTGGGTTACTAGGCTCCTGGGTGGGAGTCAAGGTGGGGCTCAAAGGAAGATCAGTGGGGAGTTTGCTAATGAAACAGTTGGATCCTTGTGTCCTCTCCCTGCCTTCACCTGAGAGGAAACTGGAAGCTTATCCCCTGCACAGCTCAGGGCACGGCCCGGCACTGAGGCTGAGAATCCCAGCCTTCTCCCCAACCAGTCCCCAGCAAGCCAGAAGCCGGGCCTTCTCCCTCAGGCGACAAATGGGAGGCTCCTTCTCAGGGGAGCATGATGGTCATCCCAGGAGAAATGACCTAAAGATCAGACATTAGAGGTTCCCCAGTGAAACACCCTGGCCAGATGACCTGACAGGGAAGCCGTCAGTAGATACGTGCTACTCACGGGTCACGGCTTGCACTTGGCTTTTTAGACAATCAAGGATCGTGGAAAATCTGAAGAAACCCTCTAACATAAGAGAGAATGAACAAAACAAATAACCCCCTCCCCCCACCAAAAAAAAAAACACCATGGAGGAAACAAATGGAGATAAAGGACCATATTGCACTTATGAAACAAAAATAGGATGCTATGAAGACAAAAGTACTGTCAGAAGAACAAAATCACAGCTATTTAAAGTTAAAAATGCAAGGGCAGATATTCAGCAATCAGGAGACGGAAGGTAAAGTTTTGTTTTTTTGAATCTCCCAGAAAGTAGACTATAAAGATAAAAGATTCAGAGAGAAAAAATACGAGAAGTAAAGACCAGCCCAGGAGGCTCAACAGCCAAAAATCAGAGTTTCCAGGAATAGAGAACAGAGAAAATTAAGGGTAGGGGGAAGAAATCGTCAGTGAAGTAATTCAGCACAATTTCCAGAACTCAGACATAAATTTCCAAACTGAAAGGGCCTGGTGAGTTCCAAGGATAAGGTATTGAAATAATTTCTCACTAAGGCACATCATTGTGAAGTTTCAGGAAAAAAAAAAAAAAAGACAAAAAGAAGATTCTACAAATTTCTGAAAAGGAATAAATAAGACAGGTCCAAAGTACCAGGAATCAGAATAACTTTGGACTTTTTCACAGTAACCTTGGAAACCAGAAAATAACAAAGTAATGCTTTCAAAAACCTATGGGAAAATGGTTTCTGCCCTAGAATTTTTACTAAGCCAAAATATCAAATAGACAAGGGTAATAAGATATTTTCAGTATCCCCCAAAATTTTGCTCTTTCAGAAAGTTTCCAGAAGGTGTGCTCAACCAAAATGAGGGAGTTCACTAAAAATAAAGGAAGACCTGGGACGTGGGGAACTGAAATTCAACTCCCAAGAGGGAAGGGGAACCCTGGGATGACTGAACACAAAAGTAGCAGGAGCAAAACAACAGATCCGCGCTGGAGGCACTAAAACGCCTTCCCACGAAGCCATAATACCAGGCGTTATCAGGGGTAACTTCTTTTGAAATGGTATGAAAAGGAAGGTGAGGAACTACTATTTTTCACAGCCAGCCTTATAAAATTATTTGATTCTTTAACTATGTGAATTTATAAGTTTGATACAAAGGAAAACAATTTAAAATAAAAAAATGCATCAAAGTCGATCGATTCTAAGCTGCGGTAACAAAATGACAGCCTAAATAAAGCCTTCACCTCTGAGGCAACTTTGGGCCAAGACTGAGGGTGATTCCAAAAGGCACCGACCTTGTCCTGGCCTGTTGGAAGCTAGAGACCGTTCCAGTCAGAAAGGTGGGCCCCAAGACCGCGCTTCCCAGGCCAGGCTGGACAGTGGCTCACCCCGCACCTACTCTACCAGGGTTAAGAGGCCTCACTGGTCTGACAGGTCCTGCTGCCCAGTGGAGGAGCCCCATCCCACGTGCCCTTCCTGCTTGGGGGAGGAGACAGAGTGACCGGAAGCAAGGCTTGGTATCTGCCATACCCCTGGAGGGGGATACAGGGTTGGGGAAGAATCCAGCTTCCCCCATTAC